GTTGCTGGTGGCAACGTTTTTGAAAGCCTTTTTGACGTTGAAAACGATGAATTCGTTCGGATTATTTTCTTTTTCGCGATCTGGGACTTTATTGGCGCTTTTTGGCTTTTAGGGAGGCTGAGACGTTGATTTTTTTATGGGTCAGAATATTGCCAGAAGTGCCGGAACCTGAAGCCGGCAGCTCTTCTAGATCGTGGGATTAGGTTTGCGAGTTTTGGGAAGGTTTTGCTGACCGAAACATGGCTAGAACCAACCTAGTCGAAGCAAAAAAAGCTAGGAAATAAGCCAAAAAATCTATTCATCAATGCGTTTTTTTCAGAATCGTTTGCGACTGTTTTCGGGAATCCACTTTTATTGATTCTTTTTGCAGGGTTATACGTGCTTTAGAAAAGCCGAGGGATGCATTTTAATGTTTTTTTGAGAGCATTAACGTCAGAATAAACCATAGCTAAAATGGGAGCCTAAATCTTTCTCTAGTTCTTTTTTGGGATATCAGGGTTGTGGATGCATTTTCTGCTTTTCCTTTCTTTCTTTTTCTACTCGCTAGTTTCCCCTGGAAATCTTCCAATTTTCAGGCATGTCCGACGACGAGGATACGAGGATATGCCGATGGCGCCACGGCGCAACGCCACCTACCGCCAGCATCCGCTCGCTGACGACGATGAGGATGAGGGGCAAGCGATACGACTGCCCGTCTACGTCTCCTCAGAAACGTTCCGCACCAAGCTCTACGCCGTCAGCTACCCGCAGCGCAAGAAAGAACTCTTCACCAAGGCGTTGCGCTCGAATTGCCGCTTCAAGCGCAACGTGTCGCTGCTTGAAGTTAGGGTGAGGCTTGAGAAGCTTATAACGCGAGGGTGCTTTCTGTTTATGGATTTCGTTCTTCGGAATTCTCCCAAATCGGGAAAGGAAACAGCCTTTTTCGTTATAATCCCGGTTTTTGGAACAAAAATAGATCGAATAATGAAAAAGACAGAGCAAAACTCGAATTTTCGGCGGTTTCTAGATAGTTTTCGACTCGGGATCTAGTTAACTTTAAAACTAATACTATGAAAAGATTTGTTTAGCATTACTATGGGTTTCAGGAGCTGGCATCACAGAATCCATCGTCCGAGACTTTGCTAGAAGACTATTAAATTGGTTTTCGAACTAGTAGACTAGTTTTTCCAGACCAATTCGCAAAAAATGATTCTGCCAGATTTTGTTGTAGTTTAATCAGTTTCAGCTCGAAAAACTGCGTAGAATTTAGTGAAAGGGATAATTTCGATAGTGTTATTTTCATAACTTGATGTTTTCCAGGTGGGCATCGACCAGAACAGCGCGTCGTACGACAAGACGAAATGCGTCGGCGACGGCGGCGATTGTGGCGGAAGTCGCGCAAAACGGGCCGGTCTTCCCTCGGAAATCGCACAGGAGGAGGTGTTTGAAGGTGAGCGGGAGTGCAGCTTGATTTCCGCTTGTTTCGCCAGCTCCTGTTTATGCGCGCGAATCTCCGCTCAGTTGAACTTCGAAGCTTTTCGACCTAGATGACCTTAGAGAAATTTTTTAAGGGAAGAGCATAGAGCAAAATTGATCTTACGATTTAAATTTCACGCGTCGTTATCCCATCGTTAAGCTTGATGTTTGATTGTTACAAAGACTGAAATGAATAGTATTGCGTGAACCGTGCCGCAATTACCCTTTACGAAATACAGATCCGAAAAATGCATAAGCAGGAATCGGTGGAATTTATTTTCTTGACCCTTTTCTAACGCTTTTTTCCAGGAAGAGCCCACCCTCCAACCGGGCCGCTGAACTACGCGGTGGGCAAGATTCACGAGGGGCGCCTCTACCTGACCCCCATTGACGGATTGCTGCCGCTCACCCGCCCCCTCACCCATATGAACAACCGCAGAACGGCCGGCAACGCCGATAAGGACATTGACGAGGACCAGTCGGCCACCGATTCCGAAGCCGAGGGCCAACCCGTGCGCATCAAATTTGCTAGGTGAGAGCGGGCGGCTTGTATCTTGGAGAAATTCTGAAATTGCCACCCCAGTTTTCGTCTCCATAAATGGAAAGGATGATGGTATGGAACAATTGAACAGGCGAAAATGTGGTTTTTATAAGCGGAAAATGCATATTTTTAGACATTTTTTGGCTTCGAAATGTGGATAGAAACAATTGGCCTTCAAAAATGATCGGATTTTTTGGGAAATCGGCGCCAGCTTCTTCTTGGCTTTAAATAGGTTTTTGCCAGATTTCCAGGCAAAAAGGGGGAATTTGAGGCCGAAACCCCGTTTTTATCGCAGTCCTGAAGCATTTTTTGCTCTAGCTGATGAAAAAATGAGCAAAATAGATTTCCAGGAAAAAGAGTAGTTCTGAAGGCCGTAAAAGTAAATTTATAACAATTTTTAGGATTTTATGGCATCCAAAAGTAGCTAGAAATTATTGGCGGGGGAAAGGCTCCAAAAAAGTTCAATTTTATAAATTTTCTCCGTTTTTCAGGCCCGAAACCGAGCGCCAGAAGAAGCGGCGTGAAGCCTCCGCCTTCCACCGCGAGAAGCAAATCGCGAGCGACGTGTGGATGCATCTGGAGCTGTACAACGTCATCGAGGACGGCCTCGACGAGAAGCTGCACTCCGTCTTCGCCTCGCACATTGAGCGCAACGGCGCGGCGGCAAGCCTGGGCTCCCTCGTCGAGCAGCAAGACTTCCGGCAGCTCGTCCTGCAGACCATCATCAAGAAGCCGGTGGAGAAGATTGACCTCAAGAATTGCCCGGAGACGCAGCTCGTCATTCAGCGCATCAAGGAGCTGTTGCCGTTTGATTTGCAGGTATATTTTTGAGTCGTAAAGGGTTTCTGCTAGATGAGGAAAAGCAATGAGCTTTTTGGTAAAATCGTTGCACTTGAAGCTTTTTGCTACCTTAAAATTATTTCATTTAGCCGACGGGATTCGAAAAACGTGGGTTTTTTGGATTTGCTTCAGCTTGTCGAAAATCATTTGTTCGGCTTCGTGCCAATTGCCGGGCGGTTTGGTTGAGTAAGACGGAAAAGGCTTGAAATTTCTTTTATTTTTTGCATTTTCCACCGGTGGACTAGATCTTGGATTTCTATGATGTTTTTAGTCGGTTTCGATTGCTAAAAGGTTATAAAAATTATTCTACTAAAAATTCGAAAAATTGCGGCCTTTACCTTTTTTGGTATATATTTGGCCGAAGAGTCGAAATTTATCGAAAATTGTTCTCGTTATTTTACCGTGCTTTTCATATCTAAAAAGTGTATAAAATGCTACAAAAATTATTTATATTTCCTGGTAGGACCACGCTTTCGTGTTGGACAAAAACCCCGCGATCGCGGCAAAATTCAGGATAAAAATCCATGGACCTGCGTGGCCTTTAAAACTGCTGACCGGAAGAAACTAGATTTTGAGAAATACTGGTTTTGGTATCTTTTGGTATCAAAAACGTTTTGTGTTTAAAAGCTAAAAATTTAAATCGCTCCTTTTTCGGCGTTTTTCGAAGGTTTTTCAATGATGTAGAAGTTCCCAAAGCTTCCGCCAGACCGCAAAAGGTTTTTAGCATGAAAGCAATGGTTTCTGCTAGCTTGCCCAAAATTTCACCTTCTTTTTTCAGGTAAAAGCCGTGCTCCTGAAAGCCTTCGTCATCTCGCACACCACCCTCCGCCATATCTTCCCCACTTTCCCGCTCGAGCGGCTCGTCGACGAGGCCTCCCGGTACGCGCATCTGATGCGCGGCAACTGGGTGGTGCACAGCGAGGAGCTGTTCGTCAAGCCGGCCAGCCGTGCCGCCCGCATCGGCTCGATCGACGTGGCGCTGGTGAAGCAGCTGCGCGCCGCCCGCGATTTCGCGCTCGCCATGATCGAGTATGGCTTCACCGTTAGCCGCGACGATTTGAAGGCGTTTTTCAAGGTAATTTTTTTCTACAAATTCCTCTGTTTCGCGCGGGCAAGAAGTTTCTTCTATTTTTGTAAAATTTCTAGTAGATGGACATTTTATTTGTCTACCCATTTTTACGCGATTTTTTTAGCTCAACGTGCTCGACGTGGACAAGGTCGTCTCCACATTCGGCGCGCTCGACGTCGACGGTCACACGATTCGGCTGAAAATCGGCGACTGCGACGCCGACGAGCTGTTCACCAACGCCGCGTGCGCGCAGCTCGTCTGCCAGCACAAGGACGCGTGGAATCGACGCTGCGAGCGGCTGCTCATCGAGTTGACCGGCGGATCAAGCAAAGAATAAGCTCCTGAACACTCATTTTGTTGATGTTTTACAGTTTCTATGATTCTCTTCCTCCCCCGTTTTATCCGTAAAATTTGTGCTCTTTTTCTGGATTAAAATTAAACCAATTCGAAGCGTTACAAATTTTATAGGTTTGAAAAGCTAAAAGAAATCCTAATAGAGAATTTTAAAATTTTTTGAATTGTTCCCCGCCGAGTACCAATCAAAAATTGCGTTGATTTTGTTGAAATTAAGCCAATTCTAGAAGGTTTATTGTGTTAAAAATACGTATCTAAAAGTTACCTGAAGATGATCTAATTCTTAATTTCTTCGAAAGAGTAGTTTTTCAAATTTTGCCGGTTTTATACAGAAAAAGCCACTTTGTAGGTTTCGTCTAAATTAAGCCAATTTTAAGCTATGATAGAAAAACAGAGAAAAGAACGTAGAAAAAGGGCAAATAGTTTTTAAACGGTTTTTACCAGCTTTCATAAAATATAAAATTTTTGCTTTTATAAAACCGATTTTACGCCTTTTTTTAGTAACGAAAACCGGCTCTAATCTTTTCGATTCTTCTCGATCTGCCATTCCCGATAGAATTCTTCTTTTTGCCCTCTCTTTACCGCGCGGGTTTTCCTTATTTTCGTTGGCCTTCCGGTATGCACAAATTCGTTATCGCTTCGCCATTGTTGTTGTTGTTGTGTTTTACTTTTATAATGTTTTCCCTGCTCTCTATCTGCTGTCTCTTGTTGAATAAAACTTAAATAAAGCCCAATTTCAGGATGGGCAAACGCAGACGCAGCCGCGGAAACGCCAGCGTGTCGGCCGGCGATGATTCGGCGGCGACGCAGCAGAACGATCAGCCGGATGTCAAGAAGATGAAGCAGGGTGAGGGTTTAGGTACACGTCTAGTGGCAAGAATAGCAAAATTTGAGCGATCGCGATAGCGCGGGGAGATTCTTTGCCTCACGAACCAATACTTCTATCATTACTTCTAAACGTGCTTCTAAAAGTGGTTAGGTCTGGGAATGTGATATCTGCAAGCCATATTTCGCAAACTTGGCAATATTCGTTCGCCAGTCCAAGCTAAGACTTGTAGAAACTTGTCGAGTTTTAAAAGTTTAAGAGGTTTTAAGATTTTTGAAGTAAAGGGTCGTAGCTGCGATAACGTCGTTTCATCGACCTTTCCGCAAAAGCGCATAAAAAACACGCCCCGCTAGCTTCCGACCGAATCAACGCTAATTTTAGACACCCCGAAGCAACAGAAGGCCGACCGCTGGGCGGCCGTCGAGGATGGCAGCGCCGTTTCGGCAGCTGGTAATCCTTTCTTTCATATTCTTGCTATAATATCTTTCCTAGCAATCTTCTCGAATGGGCACGCCAAGGAGAACGTGGCCCCGAAGCAGCAGCGGCGGCGCAGGGACCGGCGAACTTTTGTCGAGGTCGACAATGCCGATCGCATGCCCGAATCGTCGGTGGGATATTTTAAAAAATTATTTTGATGAGTTTTACGTGGTAATTTATCGTTTCAACTGTTTTCTTGCCTCTTTATTTAAAGATAGCCGTTTTTAAGGAGGCTAGATTTTTTCTGAAATTGAATTGAAACTCACCTGTTCTACCATTTTTCAAAATTACCTTTAGTGAGGAGTGCCTTTGACAATATGCCTTTTTTGCTAAATGTTAAATTGTCTCTAAAAAAGTTTGTGCAAAAAGTTAAATAAGTCTAGAAATTAAGCTTTATTATCAAGAAAAAGCCTATTTCAGAAGAAGCACAAGCTGAAGCTGCACAAGACGGATGCCAAGAAGGCGGCCGACAAGTTGAATGGGACCACTGAGCCGGTGGCGGAAGCGCTGCTGAACGGCGCCGCCAAGCCGACCATCAAGGAGTTCACCGTCAAGGTATTGTGGAGCTGCCATTTTTAGAAAACCACGCAGAACGACAGTGCAGATTTTCAAGTCCGTTTTTTTTTTCAGGGCCACCAAGAGATCGTGATCGTCGAAGAGGTGGAGACGAAGACGCTCGATGGAGGAGGTAAAAAAATTGATAAAATCGCTTTTTCTAGCCTTTGGATTTTTTCCGCCGCCGCGGGACGCCACGCGCGCTTCCTTGCGATGATGTAATGTATCACGACCCGGCCACGTCGGGTTGCGTGTCGCGAATGTGAAACTACGAGTTTTTTCGCAGCGGAAACACGCTTGCGCGCTCGCCTTTTTGATTTTGTAATAGGATATGACCCGCTGATGGCGGCCAAGCAGCGTGCGCGTTGCGTATCGCGGCAGCGGAGCCTCTGCTGGAATCACATACCTTGAATTTTCCTTTAGCCAAAACGAAACGCACGATCCGGGAAGAGATGACGTCGGTGGAGGGCGTCGACTACATCGTCCAAGACCCCGACGACGAGGCGGCCGAGGAGGAGCTCGTCGAGCTCAGCGACGACGCCTCGGAGGGCGATGAGGACGGGAGCGATTTGGCTGGTAATTATTGAATCCGAATTGAACTAATTCCGAACCGAATTGTTGAACTAACCATTCTCCAGAATTCATTCGCATGGACGAGCTGGGCAGCGACGACGAGGACGACGAGTCGGACGTGTCGTACGTTGACGGAATGGGTAGGGGCTTGAAATTTGTATTTTTTTAATGGGCCGAAGTTTTGGTTGGTGGAAAACCATGTCCGTGATTGATTGTGATTTTACCAGCCGATTACAGCCGCTTCGCGACTGTAATCGACTGGCCTTCGGGCTACCCTCCATGTTCTACACCACCACATTACATCTCAATCTTCGTCAATGGCCACGCTGACCGCTTCAGATACCTTCTCTAGCCAAATCCCTGCAAAAACTTAGATACCTAAACTACTTTAATAACTTCCTGATGGCTATAGAGACTTCCCCATAGCCGAACTCCCCTTAAAAAACTACTTCGATACCTCCCGGATGGCTTTAGATACCTCCCCTAGCCGAAATCCGCTTCAAAAACGAAAATAACGATCGACCGGATGGGATGAGAGAAAAAAAAGAAATGAAATCCCCCGTGAAAATTTTCATCCACGAAACGCGTGCGACCTGGCTCACTAGGTCCAAAATCGCGCCAACCTCCGTCCCCCGCCCCTTTTACTAAGGAAAAAACTTTCAAAGTTAATTTTAATAATTGAACTAAAACTTTTTCATAATTTTTTATTAGTTTGCGGGTTTCTGACCACGCTCTATCCGAATCCGAAGAGAGCTAAGCTCTAGCTCCTTTCCCCTTCGAGTTGAATTCGGCTTCACACACACACACAGACGTCTTTCTTTTTATTATAGTTGATACAACGCAAGAGCCTCAAGTCGCGCCTCAAAACTTACAGAATTGTGAAAACGTTAAATTAAATTCAATTGATTATTAATTGAAAAATTACGATTTTCAGAATCGCTGTCGTCAGCTTCGGAGGTGGATGAAGATGAGGAGGCCGAACTTGGCGGCGATGGCGACTCGATCGACCTGGACGAGGATCAAGTCCATTTTCTGCACGATTCGCCGGATGAGGTGGGTTTTTTGGCGTCATTTTGATTTTTATGCTTTTTAGGGTGACGAACAAGACGAGGAAGAAGAAGATGATGATGAGGATGAGGAGGAAGACGAAGAAGACGAAGAAGAGGATGAAGAGGATGATCAAGTTTTCGGCGCGTTTTGCCTGTTTTTGAATTAGATGAACCTTTATTTTTAGAGGGCCTCGACCTCTCCGGGGAATCTGACGACGAGTAGGACGGGCTCGGCTTTGTCGTCGACCGGAAGGCCGTTGTGGTAGGCTTTGACGTTCTTTCCGCAAAATTTCTGACCCGAACAGCTTGAATTTTGCTATATAACAATTCTTGTCTATACCAAATGGCTATTTTTGAAGTTTTACAGTTATTAAAAATTCTGGGCTCGCTTTGAAAAACACTTTGTACTATTCAGAAAAATTTTTACAGCTTCTAATCGACTATTCCAGGTTGGCCCCACCGCGCAGAAGCAAGGAAAAGCCAAGCAGCTCGACTTCTCGGCTTTCCCCTTCCAGGGCCCCGATTCGACCGTCTCCTCCACGAAGGCGTTCGCCTGGCTGATTGCCAACTGCGACGTCCAGACGTTCTTTGCGTGGGTTTCGCAATTTCCCCGATTCATCCCTCTCCCTTTTCAGCGATTTCTGGCAGCAAAACGCGCTGGTCGTCCGCCGCGGCCACGCCGGCTACTACGGCTATCTGCACGACTTGGCCCAGTTCAGCGACGTCATGTCGAAGGTGGCATTTTTCGTTTTGGCTTTATTTTTTTGGTTTTTAGGAGCACATGGAGTACGGGAAGAACATCAACGTGGCCGAGTACCGCGACGGCGTGCGCTACACGATCAACGGCACCGGACGCGTCTACCCGCGGCACGTCCAGAAGCATTTGGCGGTGCGTTTTTGGGCCTGAACTGCTCCCAGTCGGGCGGGGGGGGGGGCGGTGAGAAAAGGCCAAGCGCCTAAAAAATGAGGGGATGTTCCCTTTTTGCTCACCCGCTAATTCTCTTCTTTTCCAGGATGGCCACTCGGTGCAGCTGGTGAACCCGCAAATCTTCTTCCCGCGCGTCTGGTACCTATGCGACCAACTGCAGGAGATTTTCGGCTGCTTCGTCGGCGCCAACACGTAAGCGGCCTTCCATTCGGCTTTTTGAACGCACACCTTGTTCAGCTACATGACGCCGGCCGGCTCGTCGGGCTTCGCGCCCCACTGGGACGACATCGACGCGTTTCTGATGCAGCTGGAGGCAGGAAGTTCTGGAAGGTGTGGCCCCCCAACACCGAGGAGGCCAGTCTCCCCAGGCTTAGCTCTGGTACGTATTTTTTTTTACAAGGTTCTAGAATTTGATCTTGTTAAAGATTTGAATTTAAATTCAAGGATAATTTTGATCTTTAAAAAATTTTTAATTTAGTTAAAATTGCGTGAAAAAGCCATAGGACTTATTTATTTAGTGATGGAATTTTTCGAGTGTTTTTACATTTATTTGGAACGCGCACGCCGCACTTTCATCGATTAGGACCTCGATGACTGGAGTCAAAAACTCCTTTACAGGCAACTTCTCGGACAAGGACATGAAGGGCCGACAGCTGTGCTTCGAGGGATGGCTGGAACAGGGGGATATGCTCTATCTGCCTCGCGGCTTCATACACCAGGTGCGTTTTGGCTACCGTTTAAAGGGCTTGACAAGGTAGGCCCCTGGATTTTCTATGGATTTTGTGGTACGCATTGGATTGCGGTAGGCGGATAAAGTCGCGGGCGCATATTTTTCTATGCTAAAAATAGTTCATTCGGTTTTCGGGCATAAAAATCTTGGATATTTCGGTCCTCTCTTATGGCGTTATAAAATATGGAAAATGTTTTCCGTTATCGTTATATGGGCGGAGTTTTAATTAATAGTTTTAGCAAACTTATATTTTGATGTAGATGATTACTGTATTTTTTGACGTTGTATCTGGAGGGGGTCCAGGGGTAATCCATTACTTTACGGACGTGCGTGGGTTCGCATTGCGCGTCACGGCCGGAAAAAATTCTTAGAAAATCCATGGCCAGGCCCTTTAAAACGCACGATTTTAGGGCTCGGCCGCCCCCGATGTGCACTCTGCCCACATCACCGTCTCCGTCGGCCTCAACCATTCGTTCGCCGACCTGCTCGAGAAGATTGTGCCCACCGCCGTCGAGGAGGTCATCGCATCCAGCTCAAAATTGGTGGTTTTCGCGATTTTCGGTGATTTTTGAGGCACACACTTTCTAGGCTAATCTTCATTGTTTGCAAAATTGCGTTTTTCAGGGTGCGCCGCAGAATTCCGCCCGGCTACCTGGACATGACCCTTGTCGCCGAGCTCGTCTACCGCAACAAGGAGCAGGAGAAGGAGAAGTAAGCATGGGTTAAAGGGATGCCGACGGCATAGTCAATCGGTTACGCGCGGAAAAGAATGTCCCCCCCTCCCCCCCCCGGCCCCCTCCCTGTTGCGGTTTGCCATTTGTTGATGAGGGGGGATCGACACATGCCGTCGGCAGCCCTTTAAAGGCACCGGCAAGGGTGGACTATGAATTTTATCGTAATCCATTCGCGTTTTGGGTACTGGACTGTTAGCGGGGGAGGGGAGGGAAGAAACAGTTTTATTAAAGTTTCTTTCTTAAGTTTGCTTTCGTACGCTCCTATAAAGAAATTTACAAGATTTTTAATTCATTTTACAATGTTTTCGCGGGTGCAAAAAACGCAAAAACTAAAAATTCTAGAAGTTTTGACTTAATCGCAGACATCCACGAAAAATCATCAAAAATGTCCTTAATTTTTCACAATTTAAAAAGCTTTTAAAAAAAAAAAATAAAAAAAAAAAAAAAAAAAAAAAAAAAAACCCACCCCCCCTAAAAAAAAAATTTTTAAAGGGTTGATAAAAAAAAAGATAAAAAAAAAATTTAAAAAAAAAAATTTTAAAAGGGGTTTGGTAAGGGGGAAAAATCAAAATTGCCCACCTCCTCGTTAAAAGTTCCACCCCCGTTATAAGTCTAGTACCGGAAATTTAAGGCGTTGCGGGTCGCGCGCGCGGCAAATTCCGTAGGAAATTCATGCCCCAAAAACTCATACTAATTCTTTGTTCGCCCCTTTGATTTTAAAAATTTTTTTTGCAGGCTTGCTGTGCCAATCGTGAAGATGGCCTCTTCCCTCGACTGCCGCATCCGCTCCAGCGTGCACGTGGCCGTCGATCTGATGGCCCGCGAATTCATGCGCACCGCTCTGCCGCCGATGCTCACCGAGGGTTTGTGCTTCGAAATTCGCATTTTACAAATTTCGCTTTCAGAAGAGAGACGGCTCTCCGCCGTCGGTGCCGTCGATTTCCTGGGCGGTCGCAAGCTGAAGCTGAATGAGAAGACGCGCGTCCGCTTCATTCGACGTCACGCACAGCGGTAAGAGCTTTTCTATCTCAACACGGATGGTCCTTTTAGGCTGATTTTCGAGTCGGAGACGTCGGCCTTCGTCGTCCATCGGATGTCGAATTCGCTGGAATACGGCGGACGCCCCGAACAACAATTCGCCTTTGATTTGGAGGTATCATTCGCATTTGGTTTTCTCTCCCTAAAAGAATCTCTGCTAGCCTGCCCTCCTCTCGGGGTCCGTCCATTTCCTCAAACAATCTCTGCTAGCCTGCCCTCCTCTCGGGGTCCGTCCATTTCCTCAAACAATCTCTGCTAGCCTGCCCTCCTCTCGGGGTCCGTCCATTTCCTCCTACAATCTCTGCTAGCCTGCCCTCCTCTCGGGGTCCGTCCATTTCCTCAAACAATCTCTGCTAGCCTGCCCCTCTCACATCTCCATTTTCAGTTGGAAGAGGGCTTCATCCAGCTGCAAAGTGCCTATCCGGGATGGACGACGCTCGGCGAGCTGTCTGTCCCTGGAGAAGCGCCAGGCCCTGCAGCTTGTTCGTCTACTCGCCGACCACGGCCTCGTCATGGCCGACAACAAATAAAACGCCGATTTTTCTTTGTAGCTTGAAAAATTTACTAGATTAGCTTTTTTCGCAAATTATTTTCCACTTTCCCCGTTCCCATAGTATTTTTTGTAGTTTACACATTTTTCTCGGCGTCTCCACGCCTCTCCTCATCTTTACTTTGATATCCTTGGTTCTGCTGTTCTCATTGTTGTTGTTGTGGGTATTGTTGTTTTTCCAATAAATTTTGGGAATTTTTATTCTGGTTTTCTTGCGAAAAACGGCATGTTAGGCCCGTATTTTTAGCGAAAACTAAAGACACTAGGAAGGGAACTTGATGGATTGTTTGTGGAATTTTCCGCGCAAACGGCAGGCAACGCGTACGCCGCGCAAGGTGGTATGGTAATTCTAGCCGTGTAACAAGGTACATAGGTTTATTGATGGCCGAAGCGAAAAATCGGAAATCAGATTGCACGTGTAAATTAATCGAATTGCCGAGGCGCGAACGAATGGATTCTTTCTCTTTTTTCACCTTGGGTGAGTCGGCTTCTTCGGCCGGAAGTAGAAGCAGTAGTATGGAGGGCATCGAGTTGAATGAGTTAACTGAAACGGAAAGTCTTTACAAAAAAAATCGTGGTTTTTGCTTCATTTTAAGCTTCTTTGGCATTATCGGGGGGGGGGAGGAATTACATTTTTTAGACGAACTGAATTTTTAGAATCTGTTTTTTTTTGCATTTTTGCATCTAACTATATAAGGTTTTTCACGTTTAGGAAAAATAAAAAGCTTTTAAAAAATCCTTTCTCTATTTGTGTTAGAAAATTTGGATTTGTAGAAAATAGAAAATAGAAAACCAATTTTAATTACATTAATTTTAATGCTAAAGTAACCGACAAGGCGCCACGAAAATGGTAAAACTCACTTTTTAACGGGCACAAAGTGGGATCGGATTTTCTTGCTGGGTGGGCTTAACGCTTTTTCGGTGGCAACCTGTCCTCGGAACGCGTGCGGTCCGGGCTCGACGATGGGCCCTGAAAGGCGTGTTTTAAAGGGGCTGGCAAGGCAGAATTATGGCTTTTGCTGGCCAGGGATACCCTATGGATTTCGCCGCGCACGCAATGCAAAGCGACGGACGCGTAGCAGCAGAATCCATAGGAAAACTGACTGCAGTAAAAATTGACGTTTAAAAACTTCAAAATACATTAAATAGTTTTTTAATAAAAAAGGGCCCACCTCACGGGCCGACGACAGATCCTCGGCGAAGCTGACGCGCGGGATCGTGCTCAGGTTGCGGCTCGATTTTGGGCTGTAAGAGGGGGTGAAATATGGCAGCAAAAACGGGCAGGCTAGCAGTGATGCTTGGCCGGTTTTAAAAACACAAAAAAAGCATGAAGCCTAAGAATTCATTTAAAAAAATTAAAAATGCGTACCTGGGCGACGCCTGGGTGACGGAGTTGTGCGAGTCGGGGCTCGGGCTGAGAAAAGTGAGTTTTTAAAGGGACGGGCGTGGCATGGCTATGGATTTTGCTGGCTATCGATTCGTAACTGATTTAATAGGAAGTATTTGAATGGTTTTTAGTAAAAGAAAACTTTATTACAACTAGAAAAATTATCTCAAAACTTTCAAAAAGTTGAAATTTTGTCGAAAAATGGCGGCCTTTTTTAGTCGAAAACAAAATCGGCATTTTTGTCTTTTTTTCAATTAAACTTTGTGAACTTTTACGTTTAGGGATAGTAAAAACGGTTGGGAAATAGTGTGCCGGGATTTATATGGTAAAAACGGCATCTTAAGAAATTTTTGACCTCCTCTGCGTGCGGCTCTCCGATCGGGCCACCGGATCCGGGTCGTCTTTCGCCGCTGCAAAATACGGGGTGATTCTGAGGTAAGGGGCGCGTGCCAGCAAGGCTAGGAAGCGTGCCTCCCTGTTTTCATAGTGTTTTTAGCATTTTTGTTGATTGCTAGACAGTTATAAAACTAATTTTTGTCTAATTTTTGAAAATTCAAAAATTTTGGACCTTTTTGATCATTTATCTTTACGTTCTAAAAACCGTTTAACGTTCAATGATTTGAATTTTTTCTAGAGGACCGTACTTGCAAAAATTAGGTTCCCCCGCCCCCTCCCCCATGTTAATGGGGAAGAAGCGACAAGGCAAAAAATACCCACCCTGATGGGTGCGCTTGGAGGAGGAGTTGAGCTCGTGCACCCAGAGGACACGCTCGATGATCAGATCCAATTGACGCATACGGGAGCCCCACGCCTAAAAAATGAAGTTATCTCTCGCTCTTATTCTCTCACTCTCTCTCTCACTCTCACACTCACTCTCTCTCGCTCTCACTCACTCTCTCTCTCGCTCTCTCTCACTCTCTTTTCTTCTCTCACTCACCCATTCTCTCTATCCCTCTCTCTCCCGTTCTCGCTCTCATTCTCTCTCAGTCACTCCTTCTCCCTCATTCTCTCCCCGGCTATATCTCTCTCGCACTCGTTCTCTCGCTCTCACTCACTCACTCTCTCTCTCTCTCTCTCCCACCTCGAATCTGACTTTCGGTTGCAGTGCCATGGCGAATATTTTGTCAGCGGCCACTTCTCCGGCCCCAACCACCGGCCAATCGGGTAGCGCCGGTTTTCCGTGGTTGTTCGGGTCCCTTAAAAGTATACGGTAGCTGTCGTATTAAATGGTTTAAATTAAAAAAATCACTTAAATTAAATCACTGTAATTAATAACACAAGCGAGAACTTTGAGATAATTTATTGGAGTGTAAAAAATTTGCTGTACGACTGAATCAGACGCAACATTTTCTTGTATCTGAATTCGGCGAAAAACTTTTGAACCAAAACAACCGTACCCAGTGCGAATGAACGACACAAAATAGTCGGCGGTCAGCTCGGCCATTTTCTGGAACAATTTGTATGAAACTCACGCTCTAACAAAAGTCAGGAATGCGAAAATTCGACGGTTTAAATGTTTCAACATTTTTGGAAGGATATAGGTTATTGAGGCTGGCAATGTGCTCTGCAGACGAAAGACGAAGGTTTTAAACGGCAAAAAGGGTTTTCGGCTTACTAAATTTATAAGGTGGAAATGTAATGTTTTAAGTTAGAAAATTACCTATAGTTCTTACGCTTGGAATAGTCTTAAAGTAATTCAATTAAAATTAGGATTTAATTTAATTTAATTTCATAAATTTAAAGTAAAATAGCTGAGTCAACAGTAATTTAAAAAAGAAAATGAAATAATCAGTCAAAATAACGAGGGCTACGGTCAGGGACGTAGCGTAATACAGGCCCCCCCCCCCCCGAAATCGGCCGGGGCCCGAAAATTTCATAAGGGGGGACCCTTATGATTTTCATTTTCTCAAAAATTTTGTTGCCTGCGGCGTTATTTTTCACGTTTTTTACGGCTATTTGTAGAGCTATGTAATCTTTTTTCAAAAATTTTTGCCTGCGGCGCTGTTTTTTCGGCTATGTTTTAAGTTTTTTGGAAAAATTTTTTGGGGCCCCTCCCGAAATTTTTTCCTGGCTACGCCCCTGGCTACGGTAATCACCAGATCATTTTTGTCGCGGCCCAGCGGCGAGTGGAACAGGTTGAAGTCGAGGAAATAGGCGATTTCCGAGCCATGAGAGGCGCCTGAAAGAACTTGGTCGAGCTCGCTCTCGCTCTCACTCTCTCGCTCTCTCTCTCTCTCTCACTCTCTCTCTCATTCTATCTCTCTACCATGAAAGGGGAGCAGCAGTCCGAAGAGGCCGTAGACACGATGGCTGGTGTGTTCGAAGGAGTACGCGTACGTCTCGACGTTTCGCTTCTAAATCGAGAAATAGACAGGTGTAGCTTCGATGGTCCTTTAAAACATTGCCCCCGCACTTGATAGTAGTTGATGAATCGCCAGCAGGCGTGGTTCGAAATGATGTCGGAGGCCATCTAGAAAAATTTTGCAAAAATTGTGTTTCGAAAATTATCGAAAAGTCCGAGCGTAAAAAAGCTCAGATTCGAAGTTTTGCATATCCTGAGATCAAAGCTATTTGAGAAAAAGCGACATTTTTTTGGTGAAAAATCGGTATTTTCGGCCCGCGTGGATCCCATGTCGTAATGCCCTTTAATGCGTTCCATTGCTCCATTTTACTGCTTTCAAAATTTTTGAACGCATTTTTCAATCTGTAAATCAATTTTTGAAAAAATTCAAGAAGCTAAAATGAGTAAAATCACCCGAGGTGGTCAGAAATGACTTTAGATTTTGCAAATTCACGCACTTCAGGATTTTCACGTCCAGATCTGGACTGAGCTTCAAATGATTTTTTTAAAGAATTAAAAATCAGACTTGTATGTACTGCCGGGCGATGCCGTCCCGCGTCGTGGCCAACCGCTCGCCATCCCCGTAGATCTGAGTGATCATCTGGGTGATTTCCTGCAAATTCCAAAATGCTGATGCCGTACCCGCGACACACATCGGGCGCGCGCGCTTTTTCAGTGTCTACCATTCGATTTGTCTTTTTTTTGATTGTCTTTTTGTGAGACCACTGACCAAAAATAGCCAGAGAGGCAAGTAACCTTTCGTGAAACACCCACTTTTTCGTCAAAATCCTTCGAATTCCAAATCCTACTATATATAAAAAAGTAGTGTCTGTGTGTGTGTGTGTGTGCCACTTTGCATGCCACTTCCGTATCGTTGTTCCAGGCGTATCTTTATAGGGGAAGAAGTTAGGGGTGGATACGAGATGTCATTAGGTGCGTAATGGTCTAGGGATGACTGCCCACATCACAGATTTATAAAAATCAAGCATTTTCGATATTAAATTTAAGTTTTTGTAAAACCCTCTTCGCTAGGAAAAAATTAGCATTGACCGGAAGTGGGGAGTCGTCTATACAAAGGGTCACAAGCGAATCGTTTTCATGTTTTTGGTCATCTGAATTCAGCGCAATTATGCAAAGCGTAGAACAGCATGCGGTTCAAGACGGGGCCAGGGTTGAAAAGTCGCGAAGCGGCTTTTCAACCCTGGTTCCAAATTAACAATGTTTACTAACTATCCTCTTTAGCTTACTGTTTATTTTACTATCCAATTTTCAGTTGCGTGCGACCACTGATCAAAAATAGCCAGAGAGGCAAGTCGCCTTTCGTGAAACACCCACTTTTTCGTCAAAATCTTTCGAATTCCGGGCAAGCGTACGAATCATCCGTCTGATGTCCTCCTCGTCGCATTTCAGCCGGCCGAGCGGGGCTTGAAAATTATGCTTTTCTGGGCAGGCTAGCAGAGATTGTTTGAGGATCGATGAGCTCCTACCAAAAGCCAGTGCTTCGTACTGCCCGACGCCGACAAGACTCCTCATCGACGGCCCACGATCCCGTAGATAGCGCACGTTTTTCGGCAGGAAATCCCCGTCGTAGACGGGTCCTGTAAAAACGCCTTAAAATCTATTTAATTGCAAACATCGTATTGTTGTTACGTTTTTAGAAATCCAGAAAAATGGCAGAAAAAACGCCAAAGAAGTTACCTACAATGGAAAGCCGTGCGACAGATAATTCGGGGCGGCTTTCCACACGAAATAGGGCAATTTGCAAAAACATTTTTTTAGAAAATTTTGCAACAATTCTCATTAGTGGAATTTTTCTGAAACCAATCTTCGGGCGCTTTCGCATTATCTGGGGGGGATATCATTTTTGGAACAGAACGTCAAAAAATCAATAAAAGTCTGGCAAAACGCACCCAGTGGCAATCGGCCCTCCTCGAAGACGCACGCCTCGCCGATCAGCGTCGCGCCAAGCCGGAAATTTTAGGGGTAATTTAATCGAAAAATTAGAGCTGCTACTTGACAGCGGGCAGCGTCCTCAGCCAGTCCATCATCGCGTCGTTGTCGTTGAGGGTTAGTTGATCTCCGGGCCGTTTGGGCCATCCCAGCTGCTCCGCCTAGGAAGTGGTGCTTTAAAAGGCGCCGACAAGGCACTTTTTTGAAACATCGAAATTATGAGTTCTTTCGACTACTCAGGGGTGGGAAAAATTTTTTGCTTATGATGAATTTTGTGAATATAAATAGCGCAAGCGTCATTATACTGCTTATCACTATCTCTTAACGTAAAAAATGTTACACAATTTTATTACAAAAAAATACAACTAAAAATCACTACTTCGACTAAAAATGGCCGTTTTTCACCAAAATATCGACTTTTTGAATTTTTTAAAAGTTTGTGGAGAAACCTCTAGTTAGAAAATGGTTTTATTTACTAGAAAAATTAAGGAAATACTCCTATTAAGAATACATACGAATCTCAATACGAAAAAAATTGTCGGTTCTTTAGGATTCCCGGGGGGGGAAAGTATTCCCGGCGGGGGAAAACAACTTTTTTTCGGGGAAAGCCTAGATTTTTGTATAAATTGCGGATGCGTTTCTAAATTGTTTTTAACTATTCCTGTGCATAAAAACTACACACATTTTAACCAAAAAAATGTAAAAAATTAAAAATTAGGTCGAAAAATACCAGGAACCAGCCAGGAAAACAATTCGAAAAATAGACCCAAAATGACCAAATTTTCGACTTTTTCAAACATTTTTCTAAATTTTTCTGAAAGTTATTCCGCTCTAAATATAGTTAAAACTTACTAAAAACAATTCGAAAACACTTTATATTTGATTACTAGGCCAACCGGGACCACCAGGAAAAAATTGGTTTCCCCCGGGAATACTTTCCCCCCCCCGGGAATCCTAAAGAACCAAATTGTCCCCCCCCCCCGCCAGCTAAAAGCCCAGAACCGAACTTACGGCAAAAAACCAACCTTTTTGCGGCAATATTCAACGATCATCTCGCGCTTGACGACGGCCCAATGGCAAAATGACGAGCCGCCCAGGCACATCTTTCGCTGGAATTTGCCTGCAACGAATCGCTATTTGCAGGCTAGGGGGGAATACAGCGAAGTGCGTCCCAAGAAAAACGCTAACTAGAGGTCCACAATCGCTTCCGATTTTTACGATTTCGGTATCTATCAAAGCTCTCGAAGAGCTGAGTAAATATGTTCTTTCAGATTCCCGGAATTCCCGATTTTTTTTTGACATGTTTCATGCCAAAGTTACACTTTTTCTCCAAAAACTCAAATTAATCGTCTTGAGTGTTATCCTGTTTTCACAAATGCCTTTCAAAAAGCTGTCGCAAGAGGCGTCAAAATTCCAAAAAAATGTGTTTTTAAAAACCCTTTCATCGGCGGAGCATAAAAAATTCAGTGAATCTCGCAATATTAGTGATTGGAAGAAAAATTCTGGAATTTCACAAAAAAAATCGTAGAGCGCCCCTGTCCTCAGCTGGTCGGGAGCTTTCGATAGATACCAAAATCGTAAAAATTAGCACACGACTGCGAACGGTTTGACTCCTTTGTACCGTACCCCGGGTATACGGTGAGATGCTGAGCAGATCGGCGGATACGGCGCCCGCACTTTGACCGCCCACCGTCATCGCCTTCGGGTCGCCTGCAAAAAAGGCTTGTCGGGGCTTTTATCGTATCGGGGGGTGGCTATTTTAGCGGAGGGTGCGAAATACAGTTTATTTTAATAGCTTTTTTAGTGGTTTTCGATAAATTAAAAGTTTTTGTATTAATGCTACAAAGGGCCAAACTCTACTTTACCCCCCATTTTTACCCATTTTCACTCATTTTTGCCCAAAAACAATATTTTCAAAACGTTTATTATGTTTTTACGAATCGACCAACCCCAGCTCAGCCCATAACCACTAAAAACGGTGTACAATTCTTGAAAAACAATAAATATTTACGAAACGATGGAAAAAGTTGCCCCCACCCCCGATAAGCTGGAAGTACCGCCTTTTATAGAATTTTCAACTTTCCGAACCTCCGAACGCCTCGATGTTGTTGCGGACCCAGTCGAGGGCTAGCACCTGGTCGAACATGCCCATGTTGCCCTGCAATGGCAACGATGAAAAATAAATGTTTTGTCAAAGAAATGGCATTAAAAATGGCAGAGCACACGATTCTGAAGTTGTTAGATGTTTGCCGTAAACAAGCAAAGAATGGTAGTAAAAATAAATCATTGCGAATTTAATTGCATAGACACCATTAAAATCGGAATTTTTTGGGGTTAACTAAAGTTTAAAACACAGTTTTTAAATCAATTTTCCCGGAAAATTTTCACCAAAAAGACGGACCGGACAAGCCGAATCGCCGGTGGAGAAGAAGCCGAGAAAGCCGAGGCGATACTGGATCGTGACGAGGATCACGTCACGCGAGACGAACTGTCTAAAAAGCAGAGGATTTCCTAAATAGCTTAAATATCGTTATGAAACTATTAAACACTCCGGAAACTGCTCAAAGCTAGAATCAAGAGAAAATTTGTACAAAAATAATGTTTCTTGAAAAATTCAACAAAAACCATTAGTTTTATCGTAATTTTGAGTTTTTCATTTTTCGTTTTCGTTTACGTTTAGCTGTTTACCACTTATTTAAATTCGTCTATGTTTTTTTAGCTTTGTAACTGGCTTTTTTTAATTAAAATTTTGTTTGTTGTTTCATTCTTTTGTTAGTTTTTAAAATACTTAACAACATTTTTTGCTTTATTTTGTTAAAAAACCTGAAAAACAATTTTTTTTTTGAAAAAATTAAGTTTCAAAAAATTTCGAAAACCGGATATTCCAGGAGGATTCAATAACTGGGCGTTTTTCATCGGCATAAAAATACCTGCACAGCTTGGCGACGTCGTACCGCGCCGGCGTGTCCATCATGAACCCGCCGCCGTGGATGTAGAAGAACACCGGGTATTTTTGGAGAATCTGGAATTTGCAGCTTGATTTTCTACATTAACTTGTAGGCGCACAACCAGATAACGAAAACGAGCCCAAAAAAAACTAGACAAACCCACCTTGTCGTCCTCGATTTTCGGGGTGAAGATGTTCAGGTAGAGGCAGTCCTCCGAGCAGCGATTCTCAAAATCATTTATTACGCCTTGAAACGCAATTTTTGAGGTAAGAAAAAACGGTTCTGTTCTGTTAGCGGGGGGACCAAATTTTTGCTCGTGATTCTTTAAGATCCTAAAGCAAAAATAAACAATTTTTAAAGCATTTTACATAGTTTTTAGATAGAAAAACAATATAAAAAAATACACATTTTTTACTTTTTGGTCAAAAATGCAGGAAAAATTACTATAAAAGGTAAAATTTTTCAATTTTTCAAAGTTTTTAAAAATATTTTTATATTTTTTAGCAATCAAGAACCACTAAAACACTATAAAAACACACATAAAACTATCAAAATACAGTCTAACAACACGTTAAAAACACAGCCTATATCATCAACAGGTAGAAGAAAGCAAAAGCTAGTCTCCGCCTAAATCTCCCCCCCCCCCCGCTAAGAGCCCAGTACCGAAAAAAGTGTCACCAACAACGTGGCCCATTACCATGAGAAGGCGCTCGATGAAGTGGCTTTTCTGGATGGAGCGCTCTTTGTATTTCACACACTTCAACACGCCCGGCCAACGATCTGGGGGTTGGGGACGCTGAAAGTGGATCAGACGGTTTGCGCATTAATAGAATGCGCAAAATTTTCTCCAAGACTTTCTGCTGGCTTGCCCGGAAGTGGTTTGCTATATTTAAAGTCTAAAAACTCTAAGAATGATAAAAAATGTTTGGCTGAACTCCAGATCCCCCCGCCCAGCCGGCACCCACCTACCGTATCTCGGCTCCATGTTCATCTACAGGTGTGTAAAGTATACCAAAATACTCGCCACAGTAACACGAACATTTTGCTATACTTTACACACCGGTAGATGAACAGGGAGCCGAGATACAAAATCCGGTCCCGTTTTTTCGTGACAATCCCGGGTTGGCCTAGCAAGCAAAAATAATGTGTTTTACATTGTTTTTAGTCGTTTCAACTATATTTAAAGCCGAAAACCGGTAAGAAAAAAGTTAAAGAGTGTTTAAAAAAAGTGTGGTCATCTTGGCCGAAAAAAAATGTAATTTTTCGAATTAAAATTAAATTTTTATGAAAAAGCTGTACAGTTTTTAGGCTTAGGATCCTAAACAGCAAAAAATGATACCCGAAATCGCAATTCGCCGAGTGGCGGCTTGGCGTAGGGGACGCCGAGAAAGACGTCCGCTTCTGTTTCATCCTGAACGCCGAAAAAATGTGTTTCGGAGAAATTTTGCAATCCTAGCAAGAATTTTTACACGATTATTCGAAGGTCGATTTCAGATACCTGGCAAGACGCAACAACAAGGTTATTTTCTCGATTTTAGAGGGAGACAAACATGAGGATTGTCATGAAAAACGATGTTTCATTAAAAAACCATTTTCGTGTGAGTTTGTTGCGGAATTCTTCGCTGCTCATCTTTCTCGAATTTTTTATGCCTAAAACCTACGACTTTGACGCGGAATCCCTCGACGGTCCCGTACTGCGTCACCACCTCGAGGGGCCCTGAAATTTGCAAAAAGCCGTGATTAAAATCACGATAAATTCGTCTAAATTTGCGCCAAAACCAACGCTTCTTTTTCAGCCGCATGCGGTGCGAGTAGGGTCGGAGATGAAGTGATTTTACGGAGTTCCAACACTAATAAAACCCGTGATTTTATGCTAATTTTCTGCGAAAATTTAAAAATTGGATTTTTGGGCAAGAAAAAGAATGTATCAACTCGAAATTACATTAGACGACTTTAATTATTTTAACTGGATATCTCATTTTCATCCGCCAATTTTTTTAAATAACCTAAATAAACGAAATTAAGCCTAGAAAAAGCCGGGTAATTTGCATAAATCATTTTAAATTTAAATATCGGCTGCCAGGAACATTAGGGTGATTAGCATTTCATTCTGCGTCTAAAAATCTGAAAAATGACACTTTTCTCACTCCACTTTTCTACCGTACTCGCCACTCAACCGGTCGGCTCGGCACCCCGGCAAACTGGCTGATGTGTTGATGGAGAAAAGGTGATTTTTGTTTTGGATTCTAAAAAATTGCATTTTTTATTTTTGTTTAGGCTCCGTGCCCGAAACATTTTTCTAATATTTAAAATTCATTTAAAAAGGTTCTTTCGCGTTATCGGGGGGAGAAACAATATTTTTTTGCACTAATCTAAAAACGTCTTTTTAGGAAGTATTTCCATAATGTTTTTAGTAAAATGAAATTATATTTCAACTAGAAAAACTCGGAAATTTTTCAAAGAAATCGTTGTTCAAAAACGGCCATTTTTGTTCGAAAAATTGCCATTTTGGATTTTTTTAATAAATTTTATAAAGTTTGCACGTTTAGGGAAAGTAATAAACATTTTAGAAACACTTCCGCTATTTATAGTTAAAAATTTGGTTTTTCATAAGAAAATACCCCCCCGATAATGCAAAAGAACCTTTAAAAGATTAAATACATTTTAGCATTTTATTTATCATCGATATTATTTATTATATCTTATTTAATATCAATACATACTAAATTATTTTACTTTATTACAGCAACAACTCGACATCGGATTCGATGGGTACTGCGGGGGTTACGGTATCGCCCCGTCGTCGCAAGACATCTCGTGCCGGATCAAGCCCCGCCCCTCGGACTGCCCTCTCCGCCACTACACCACGCAAATCAAACAGATCCGGTATGCTATACATCACCCAAACCCCCCCCCCCGCTAAGAGTCCAGTACCTTTACGTTTTACAGCCCGTCGTTCGCGTGGCAAGCGTGGCACGCGAGTCCATTTCACTCGTCTTGAAGAGCACCCATGGCGTGCCCGTGTCCAGCTTGTCCTCTGCAACATCTCCGATCGACCGCTCCGCTTCGAGCTCAAGGCCAATTCCGAGTGCATTACGGTATTTTTCGGCATTAAGGAATTTACTGTACTTCTTTTGTCAGGCTTCCCCGATCAGCTCCGGGCATATTGGGCCCCGGACGCAGGCGCGTGTCTTTTTGACGTGGGAGCTGAGGGCGCATAATGAAGACAAGGCACTGCCCGATCCCAAGATTCTTCTCATCACCGAGGTATCTCTCTCGCTCTCTCTGACTCTCTCTCTCTCGCTGTCTCTCGCTCTCTCTCACTCTCTCTCCATCTCTCGCTCTCTCGCTGTCTCTCGCTCTCTCTCTCACTCTCTCTCCATCTCTCGCTTTCTCGCTCACTCTCGCCCCTCTCGCTCTCGCTCGCTCTCTCTCTCCCCCCACCTCTCTCCCCCTTCTCGCTCTCCCTCTCTCTCTCCTCTCTCTCTCTCTCTCTCTCTCTCTCTCCTTCTCTCCCTCTCTCTCACTAGCTCTCTCACTCTCGCTCTCTCACTCTCTCTCGCTTTCTCGCTCTCTCGCCATCTCTTTCTCCCACTCTCTCTCTCTCTCTCGCTCTCTCGCTATCTCTCTCTCTCGCTCTCTCGCTATCTCTCTCTCTCTCTCTCTCTCTTTGTCTCTCTCATTTCTCTCTCCCTCCAGAACCCACAAAACCATGAACGCGAATGTTTCAGTTCCCGGAGTACCAGCAACAGACGTCGCTGTCGCAGACGACGACCAGCCGTCGTACCCTGACGCAGTTGTTGTGTCTGATGAATGATGGGGCCGTGTGCTGGGGTGGAAACCCTCCCGTCGAGCAGTTCCTCTTCGACGCCATGGGGCTCACCGAGGCGCCCAAGTCACCCATGCCACCCGTCGCCCAGGGGTACGCCGCCAAAATTGATAGGATCTTTTCTCTTAACGGGGGGGGGGATTTTTGGTTCTGGACTGTTAGCGGGGGAGGGAGGGTTTTTAGAGGGGGTGGGGCATTTTTTAGATATAAAAATTAAAACAAAAATAATAAAAATCTCAGAACTGAGTTTTTGGGCAAAAATGCATGAAAAATTCCCAAAAAGGCAAAAAATCTTCGAATTTTGAATCCTTTGGAAAATTCTAGCAATCAAAAACCCACTCAAAATTGCCTTACTATTATTATTATATTATTATTAGCAAGTGCATGGATGCAAAAATAAAAGCTTTTCGACGGACAAAAAAAAACTCATGCCGTTTCAGGCCCACGCCGACGACGCGCGAATCGCTGACCAAGTTCCTCGAGCAGCTCAAGCCCGAAGTGGCGGTGTGTGGTCGTTATCGTAGCGTTTTATAGACTTGAGGGAGCACAAACGCAAAAAAAATTTTAAAAAGGAATTTTTCGGTGCTAGACTGTTAGCAGGGGGGGGGGAATAACTTTTTGTTTTCCCACTTTTTTACCTGTTCGTAATATATCATTTGAAATAATGTATAATCAAATATAAAATTTATTTTTATAGTGTTTTTACTAGTTTTTCCGTTCCAGAAAGTTACAAAACATCCTTAAAAAAATTTAAAATTCAAGGCTTTCGACCTTTTTGGGTCATTTTTCATATTTCCTTTTCGAAAATTTTTATTTTTTGAATATTTTTTGTATCTAAAACTATGTATAAAATGCTATAAAAATGGTTTTGATTTTGTTATAGGGCCGTAGTGAAAAAAAAATAGGAAAAATCTGGTTTCCCGCCGCTACCTGTCCAGACCCAAATCCGTAAAAAACCCCAAAAGTTCAAATGTTTCTGCTCCGATCAAAATTCCAAAAATCGATTAATTTCGGCCTAAAAATGGTAACAATTTCAGGTGGCCCTCCTGCTGCTGACCGCCTACATCCTGTTCGCCATCCTCCGCCAGATTCTGTTCCCGTCGCAACGCGACCGGGGCGGATAGCCGGCTCCGGAGCGGATGAAGCGGAAACGGAAGCTCCGGAACACAACTTATACAGCACCCAACCTCCCCCCCTCTCTCTCTGATCGTCTGTGTCTCTCAATATTTGTATCTCTCCTCCCCCTCAAAAAAAGAAAGTCTCAAAAAATGATAGAGACAGACCGAAGGATATTTGCTCGAATCGATTCACCTACTCGTTAAACGATGCCTTGTCGATAAATATACGTTTTGATGTGTGTACGCTGCACTACAGTACGCTACAGTACGTGAGAATACGTTACACTTCGTGAGGTTAGAGTACACAACAGTTCGCGACGGTACGTAACAGTACGCAGCGGTACGCTACGTTACGATACTATTCGCTGCGACGTTCTACGGAACGCTACAGTACGTGAGAGTATGAGGCGCTAATGTACGTTACACTACGGAAGGTTAGACACGCAACAGTTCGCTACGGTATGTAACAGTACGCAACAGTTCGCAGCAGTACGATACGGGAGACGTAACATTACGCTGCGCTACGGCACTCTTCGCTACGAAGTTCGACGTACTTACACTACGTTGCGCTACGCTACGATGTTTCGTCGATAAATATACGTTTTGATGTGAGCACGATAAACAATAGTGCGCTACGGTGTACTACGGTGGGATACGACGCGATACGACACGCTGGGACGGTACGCGGCAAAACCCTATGATACTCACGCTACGGAATGCTGCGCGATGTTACGCCTAGCAACGATACGCCCAAGCTACAGTACCCTACAATACGTTGCATTACGCGGCGTGACAGTACGCTATGATACACCACGGTCGTAGCGTACGTACCGGCCATTTTGCTTGGAGAAATGGAGGTAATTTAGCTTGTAGGCAACCCCGAGAACCGGGAAAATCTCATGAAATCGTTTGTAAAACCGTATACCTAAAGAAAAACATGGTTTTTTGTGGCAAAACCCGCCGCTTTAAAGACCGTCAGAACGATGAAATTTCGTTAAAAGCAAGAAAGTCGCGCACCGGGTGGGGTCGAACCCGCGATGTTTCGCTCCACAGTCCGACGCGCTATCCACTGTACCAAAGCTCCGAGTGGGGAAGGGAGTCAGAGGCCCCCCAAGCCCCAGAGGGCCTTTGCCCAGTACGGGGCGCTACTAAGGACGCCTCTCTCTGCGCGTTCTTGGGGGGGGGCGCTCCCTCGGGGTGACAGTGTGCGTTCCAGAGTTCTAGCAGTCTTTAAAGGGCTGGAGAAAGACGGGCAGGCGTCCGTCGGGGTGACGGATCGACGCGAATGCGTAATTTTTATGCAAAGTCAAATTTCGGCGCAGGCCAAAGCGAGAAACCCGGAAACGGCCTGTAAAGCCCCTAGGGTATTTAATGGTTTTTCGTCGCGCCGGCTCGGTTGACGCCATGGTGTACTGGTTAGCACGCTGGACTGTGGGTGAACCATCGCTGGTTCGACTCCCGCCGGCTGCAAATTTTTTGCTTTTTCGCCAAATGCATCTTTCTCGAACGGGGTAACTATCATTCCAGATCCGATACAGCTGCGTTGAGTCTGTCGTGGTGTTATTGTGGCCCGAAACAACAAAATCATTCAAAGACGTTTTTATCGAATCAGGCAAAAATCATTTTTTTGATGGTAGGTAGATGGGTAGTGGGTTGCGTCGTTTGAGCGTTGACTCTTCCCAACCGAACGCGGAAACTAGAGACGCAGCATCATCACGTCATCGGGGCAAGAAGCTGAAATCTCCTATGTCGTATTCGTATGCGTAAGATCTGTGCGAACACGATCACTCACCAAGGAGCTAGAGTGGCAGGATCAGAATCATAGATGCAATAACCTGAAAGTGGAAGAGAGTGAGCCTTTCCTTTATAAATTCACCAAATTCCAACTGGAGAGGTGATGACTGCGCGAGGTAGTGGGAGCTGGCGTGTCGCAGGAAGGGGCGCAATCCGGGCACTGTAATCGAAAATTGAATATCGTTGAACAATAGAAATGTAACTCTTCCAAACTATGATTCATGCCAGCAAATGAATTCCGAACATTCTCGGCACTCTGAATCATGGCATGCCTTCGGAAAACAAAACAGCTGCAAAATATTCCTACCAGCCGATTACATGTTCTACGCCACCACATTACATCTCTATCTTTATCAATACGCGCACCAATCGCTTCAGATACGCCTTATAGCCACCCCCTGCAAAAAATTAGATACCTAAAATACTTCGAAACCTTCCTGATGAGTTTCGATACCCCCATAGCCGAAATCCCCTTCAAAAACTACCTAAATACCTTCCTGATGGCTTCAGATACCTCCCCTAGCCGAAATCCCCTTCAAAAACTACCTAAATACCTTCCTGATGGCTTCAGATACCTCCCCTAGCCGAAATCCCCTTCAAAAACTACCTAAATACCTTCCTGATGGCTTCAGATACCCCCCATAGCCGAAATCCCCTTCAAAAACTACCTAAATACCTTCCTGATGGCTTCAGATACCCCCCATAGCCGAAATCCCCTTAAAAAAACTAAAATAACGACCGACCGGATACGGGGGAGAAATAAAAGAAATGAAATGGCCCCGGTGAAAATCTTCATCCACGAAACGCGCGCCACCTGGCTCACTATGTCCAAAATCACCCCAACCTCCGTCCCCCACCCCTTTTACTAACAAGGGAAGGGCACGTGGACGAAGTGGAATTTCGCAAAACCCTCGCGGCTACCCCCGGGTAATCGACTATGGAGAACACGATGCCGTTTTCCGATTTTCCTGCGGCGGCCTGTGGACAGAGATACAGTACTTCCGGAAAATGACGCTTTGCATGCGAAAAATTCGAATCCGGGCCAAGCTTTATTACGCTCGCTCATCAGTATGGAATCACCGGTCGAATGGTCGATTGGTAAGCAACTCGGTTGATAGGATACTGACGAGGGTACGGATCCTCTCACGATTTTTTCGTTTTACTGTTTTTCGTAACCAGTGGTTTTTCGAACAAGGTTTTATTTGTTCTTTTGTGTTTTTTTCCGCGACAACTCTATATTTTTAATTAATACGTACGTTATCGCAGAGTAACCGAATCTAAAATACTTTCACACATTTTATGAAACTTTCGCCTGACGGGGAGGACGGCTGCCCATTCTCGCGAATATTCTAATTTTTCGCATGCAAATCGTCATTTTCCGGAAGTGCTGTATCTCTGTCCACAGGCTTCCGCAGGAAAATCGGAAAACGGCATCGTGTTCTCCATAGTCGATTACCCGGGGGTAGCCGCGAGGGTTTTGCGAAATTCCACTTCGTGCACGTGCCCTTCCCTTGTAAGGAAAAAACTTTCAGAGTTAATTTTAATAATTTAAACTAAAACTTTTTCCCAATTTTTTAATCAGTTTGGGGGTTTCTGACCACGCTCTATCCGAATCCGAAGAGAGCTAAGCTCTAGCTCTTTTCCCCTTCGAGTTGAATTCGGCTTCAGACGGACGGACAGACAGACAGACGCGTCAAGAAAATTATTATAGTTGATATAGTAGGATGATGGTTTTAGAAGTAATGATTTTAGAAGTAATGGTGGGTAGCCCGAATAATCGACAACACTCTCTGTTTTCTACAATGACGATTTCCGATTACTGGCCCCCGGACTTCATTTGCCAACATAGGGGATTAACGCGCTACCTTGCATTTGTCCCGGCACAGCACACCATCAAAGCCCGGATCGCAAACCTGCCCAATGGTGAGATGGCTAAAATTAATGAAAATAATTAAATTAACTGAGTGATTCCTCACAGGTTATGCTCGCCCCTCCGACAAGTGATGTTGATACGATCCGGCATCACATATGGGTTCTCGCCCCGCAGCTCCAACGTATACCGTCCGCATGTCGAACACTGGTGACCAGGCTTGGGGCTCGGTTCATCACAAAGTTGGAACGTCATCTCCTCCGAGATGGCCAAAACCTGATATTGTTCATTATCAGACGGTAGTCACGTATTGCCAAAATTAATTTGATTTGATCTTGGATAATGAAATTGCTTCGATTTTCAGGAAGTGGATTGCATTATTTTGGGCTTAAATTTAATTCTGTATATTTTTTTGATGCACTATCGAATCGCGTATCGAAAATGTCGAAAAAAAGGGAAAGTATCGAAAACTAGCTTTTTCCAAGATTCCAAAGCAGGTCGAAAGTGGGTCTTTCGAATTGGAGATTTTTCGAAATGTTGGTTGTCGAAATGATGTCTTTTCGAAGTGGTGTCTTTCGAAACGGTGTATGGGAATCTTGGGGGAACGAGCACCTGCATCCTCACCCTTCTCGGCTAAACTCCAGATAACCCCCCCCCCCCCAGCCAGCTCGGCCCCATATGCCCTATTAATGCGCGGAGTATCTCAAAATGTTTGCCGTGGTCTAAAACCTAACGGAAAGTTGTTTGGTTCCGCCGAAAATCGCTAGAAATTTTTTTATATAATTTTTTCGCAAAACTTTATACAAGCCCAAGCTTAAAATTTTCGACTTCGATTTTCGTCTTGTAATTTTTTCGACCCAAATCAAATGTTTTCGCATTCTCCAGGTTAAGAGCTACATTTTGGTACCCTTACCAGCCGTGTACAGGGACGTAGCGTAAGGTGGGCCCCCTGGGCCCGGGGCCCCCCCCGAAATCGGCGGGGGCCCGAAAATTTCATAAGGGGGGACCCTTATGATTTTTATTTTCTCAAAAATTTTGCTGCCTGCGGCGCTATTTTTACACGTTTTTACTGCTATTTGTCGAGCTATGCAACCCTTTTTCCAAAATTTTTCGCCTGCGGCGCTGTTTTCGCCTTAATTTTTTGAGTTTTTCGGAAAAATTTTTTGGGGCCCCCCCCCGAAATTTTTTTCTGGCTACGCCCCTGGCCGTGTATGACAAACTAGAGCCGAGATACCAATTTAGACTTTCGGTCAGGAAAAATTAACACCGGCGACCCAGACTTATAATTCTTACCAGCGCCCAAAACCCGCTTCGCGGGCCTTGGGCGCTGGAATGCGGCCTTCCCATGAGAAATTTGACTTTCTGATGGCTCGGGTCCGTCGGACCGCCTTCCCCACCGACCACACACGCGAGTGTAACTGGCAAGAATGAAGAAATTTCTATTTTTTCACATTATGCTAATGAGCCCTCCCGGTCCCCCAAAAATGAGTAAAACCGGCTTTAACTTTGTAAAATTTTATTTTATCGGGATTCTGAAAACGTGATTGGAAAGAGGAAGGTCGATTACCCCAAGTGACGAAGAATTGGGGCATTTTGGACACGGGAAGGCCCTCAAATCGGGCCTCGAAACTGACATCCACACACACACACAAAGATACGCGACCAAATTATATAAGGTAGGATAAAAAAATTTATAGCGATTTTTTAAGGAACCAAACAGCTTGCCGTTAGGTTTTAGACCACGGCGAACATTTTGAGATACTCGGCGCACTAATAGGACCTATGGGGGCCGAGCTGGCTGGGGGGTTATTTGGAGTCTTGCCCCCATTCTCTCCTAGGGGACAAAAGCAGGAAGCGACCCTTTCAAATAAATCTGTTACCCTGATAAAAAACTCGGTGTTGCTTTCGAGGTAGACGGCCGTATCGCCCGTAAATTTCCCATCCTCGTAGGTGGTCAGCAAGACGGTCTCGATTTGTTCTGCACCACGTCCACCATGACCCTGTTGCACTAAATTTCAAGGAACTAACTTTACAAGTATCGGCGCTTTATCCTTTTTTATTTTTTTTATTTTTATATTAATTATAGGATCCTACTAAATATAACAAAATAGTGTATGTGTGTGTGTGTGTGTGCATTTGCATGCAACTTCCGTCCGTATGTTCCAGTCGTATCTCAACAGGGGAGGAAGTTAAGCGTACGTATGTTACGTCATTAGGTGCGTAATGGTCATGACATGACTGCACGCATATAAGATTTTTAAAAATCAGCAGCTTTCGATATTAAAATTAAGTTTTTGTGAAAATCTCGCTCGGCCTCTTTGTTAGGAATCAATTTGCATTCACCGGAAGTGGGGGAAGCCTATATAATGGGGGAGAGGACGCGCTTTCCATTTTTCTACACAGGAATTCAGGTGAATTTCGAAACGGTACTGTTCTATTTCGCGGGGGGTTCACTCCGTTCAAAATCCCCCACCCCCGTTAACAGAAAAGCACCCAAGTTTTGGGTTTTTGCATTACCGATTATCGACGAAAATGTCAACATTGCCCAGGTTTAGTTTGGGTTGTGGTTCAGGTTGCCCCCCAGCCAGCTCCCACCTACTGTATCTCGACAACCCGTTGTTGTAGGGGCCGGCAAAGTATACCAAAATACGCGCCAGAGCAAGACGAACATTTTGGTATACTTTCCACACCGGTAGATGAACAGGGAGCCGAGATACGGTAGGTGGGGGTCGGCTGGGGGGTAAACTGGGGCTACGGTTTACTTTACCCCCCCCCCCCAGCCGGAATGTTTTGGCTATAAATTTTTTATTTTAACATTATTGTAGGCCTAAATTAAAACGCTGAGTATATTTTTCGACGCTCTATCGAATGGCGTTGCGAAAATCTCGACAAAATAAGCGAAAATACCGAAAACTTGGAAGACCCTTCGGCTGTGGGGGGGGTAAAGTAAACTCTTACCTAAACTGGAATTATGGACACCATCCCGAAAAGACACCATCCCGAAAAATTTGCATGCGAAAACTTCATTAGCATAGAAAAATAGCTCCTTTTTCTATGGTAGAGCTGACTTTTCGCATGCAAATTTTTCGGGATGGTGTCTTTCGGGATGGTGTCTTTTCGGGATGGTGTCCATCTACCGGTAAACTGCAATCAAACCTTTTCTTACATAGTTTTCCACTTGAAACATAGTTAAATTTAGGGTAGAGTTTTAGGGAAAAAAAACTTAGTTTCACCCATCCCGATTAAGACCGACAAGCAGCTTACTCACGACTGTGACAATAATTTGCGCACTCGATAGCCTGGGAGAGCAAAAGACGGGGAACTTTGGGACGATTTATTCAAGGGTCCCGGTGGGGTACCCTTTTATGAATACACAGCAAAAAACGGGGAACGGGGATTGGGGCAAAGGCGACGAAGGCGATGGCGAAGAACACGGCGGCGATGAAGGCGAGCAGAAGGCCGGGAATCAGACGTAGCTTCGCGGTGGCGAACAGCTAGCTGGAGCCCGGGAAGACGGAGATGATGACGTCGACTTGACTGGACACGACTCTCGACTTGGTGAGAGGAAGAGGGCGTGCGTTTATATAGTCGGGAACTTGTTGCGGAAGCAAGAGAAGAAAGTCTTTTGATTCAATTACGCGATGCCTGTACGGCGCACCCCTTTGCACTACGCCCTGTGTGCGCCCTCCCCGTCCCCCGGCACAAACCCCATTTTTGTGCGTGTCTTTTTCATTCTTTCCACACCGCCCGTCTTGTCTCGCGGCTTGTGTTATTTTAGGCCATTGCCGTTATCGTAATAAATACTTTGTCCTCCCTTCTTTCGTCATATCAATTCAGGTGTCAAACGACTCTCTCGCAAGGTATCCCCTTGGATTGAGCCAGCACTCAAGAACTCACGCACAGCCACACCTACAACAATTGGCGATCAAGGATTCGAGCCCGAATTGAAGAATGGCCGACGACCCCGAGCTCAAGGACGTGCTCAAGCAGCTCGCCGCCGCGAACCAGCAGATGACCGCTGTCATGGTCGCCGGGCAAGAGCGAGAAGCCAAGCTCATGGCTGAGCTCGAGCGGATCCGCGCCGAGGTCCAAACGCACACGGACTCGGTTAGCGAAGATTCAAGCCAAAGCCAAAGGCCTCTGAATGCAGTCGAGTTGGGCGCCCTAGCCACTCGCGTAAGTCGATTCGAGTATGACCCGTCCCAGGGGATTACGTTCGAAAAATGGCATGAGCGGTTCAAAAACCTCATCGCCACCGAATCGCGCATATCGGAGGAGAACAAAAAGCATCTTGTTCTCGGAATGCTGGATGCCAAATCCTATGGCTTGCTAGCGGATCATGCTCGACCCACCGAGCTGTCTTCGATCGCATACGACGACATCGTCAAGCATTTGACTGAGATGTTTGGAGAAAAGCTGTCGCTTTTCAGTCGACGATTCCTCGCCTTTCGCGTGGCGAAAGAGCACGATGAGGATATGCGATCCTACGCCGCTCGCGTCAACAAATTATACGAGCAAGGTCGTGTCAAGGAAATGAAGGAAGATGAAGAAAAGTGTTTACTTTTCGTTGCTGGACTGTCAGACCAGGCACATCGCGACATCCGCAAGAAATTGATCCGTATTCTTGAGTCAAAGAATGACGTGAAACTGGATGATCTGCTGCGCGAGTGTGACCTGCAGACGAGCCTGAACATGGATGTTGTGGTCGAACAGCATGCCAATGTCAACCGTATCCAGCAGTCGGGATACCGAAAGACTTGGAACAAGGGCCCAAAGCCTACCTCTAGCAATGGTGGCCCAAAGCCTTGTGATACCAATGATCGGCCCCGCGGAGACAAGCGAAATGATGTGTGCCATCATTGTGGAAAACGAGGACACTGGGCAAAAGAGTGTCGCTCAGATTCTGGAAACCGTGGAGGTAATTTTTCCAAGCAAGGAAAACAAAACCGAAACGAGGACTGGAAACCGAAGGTGAACCAGATTGTGCAAATCAACGCCATTGATTCAACGCGCAAGGACGTTGAAATTTCAATCGGAAACATCCATTTTACGCTGCAATTAGATACTGGCGCCGCCGTAACTATTATTGACGAGGCTGTGTGGCATCAATTGAATTGCCCACCACTTACGCCGTCGGATATTCAACTACGAGCTGCCAACGGTAGTCGAATTGACGTGAAAGGATTGTTTGAAACCCGCTTTCAAGTGAAAGGCATTGAGGGGCATGGCCGTTGCTTTGTCACCAAAGACATTCGGTTGATGGGGCTGGATTGGATCAATCAGCTGCCACAATTCGCATCCTGTTTCGATGAATTGTGTGTCAACAAGGTTCAAGTGAAGCAATCAAAGCTGGAAAAGGAACTTGTTGAAAAGTACCCAAGCGTATTTACGGATGGTCTAGGCTTATGCACTGTTGCTAAGGCTGAGTTGCAGCTCAAAGCCGATGCGCAGCCAATATTTCTGCCATTCCGACGTGTCGCATTCTCGATGGAATCAGCCATTGAAAAGGAAATTGAACGTCTCGTTGATTTGACTGTTTTGAAACCAGTCACTTACAGCGAATGGGCGGCTCCGGTCGTTCCAGTCAAGAAGAAGGACGGTTCATTGCGACTTTGCGGTGATTTCTCTACCGGCTTGAATGATGCGTTGCAAGATTACCATCATCCTCTTCCCACAGCGGAAGAAATTTTCACCAAGCTCAACGGTGGACAAGTGTTTTCCCAGATTGACTTGAAAGATGCTTACTTACAAGTCGAGGTTGAGGCTTCTAGCCAAGAATACCTGACAATCAACACACACAAGGGACTTTATCAGTATCAACGACTGATATTTGGTGTGAAAACAGCCCCCGGTATTTTCCAGAAAATTGTGGATAATTTGATCGCAGGCTTGGACGGTACCGCTGCCTACCTGGATGATCTGTTGATCACCGGCCGGAACCAGGAGGAGCATGACGACAGGGTACGTCAATTGTTTGAGCGAATCGCAAAGTTCGGATTGCGCGTCAAAATGGAAAAGTGCACGTTCGGCCAGGCTTCGGTAAAGTATCTTGGCTTCATTCTCGATGCCCAAGGCCGAAGACCCGATGGCGAACGCACGGCTGCGATAGCAAATATGCCACGACCTACCTGCCTCAAAGAAGTTGAAAGCTTTTTGGGCATGGTTTCGTTTTACCAGTCTTTTATTCCTCGTATGCGGCAGTTGCGCGCCCCGCTTGACGAGTTGAAGAGAAAAGACGCAAAGTTTCTCTGGCGTGAGGACTGTGAACGAGCGTTCCAGTCGCTCAAGGAAATTGTAATTTCCGATTTGTTACTCTGTCATTATGACGCCAAGTTGCCGATCGTCGTCGCCGCTGATGCCAGTGAGCAAGGCCTTGGGGCAGTCATTACCCACCGATTCGCTGATGGAACTGAAAAAGCAATCGCACATGCTAGCAGAGCATTGACTGTGGCAGAGAAGAACTATAGCCAGATTGAAAAAGAAGGCTTAGCCCCTCGTATTCGCAATTCGGCGCTTCCACAGATACATCTACGGAAGGCGTTTTGTATTACTGACGGATCATAAGCCCCTTTTACCAATATACGGGTCGAAAAAAGGAATCCCACAACACACCGCAAACCGTTTGCAAAGGTGGTGTTTGCAATTGAACAACTACGATTTTTCGATTGAATATCGTAACACGACCAAGTTTGGTCAAGCGGATGCCCTTTCCCGTCTGATTCCGCCAAAATCGGATCCTGAAGAAGATGTCGTGATTTCGCAGATAGAAATCGACATTTCAGCCGTTTTTGAGGATAAATTGAGCCAAATCCCAGTTTCAAACAAGGAAATTGCTGAGCAAACTGAACAGGATTATTCACTCAGCGACGTGATTGACTCTCTGAAAAGTGGTTCTTTTCCAGACTGTTTGCCAGGCTCGTCGCTGTACGCCTACAAAAGTCTTGTCAATAACTTGTCAATTCACCGAGGCTGTTTGTTTCTGAAAGAGCGAGTTGTTGTGCCGAAAAGGCTACAATCGCGGATCCTGAAAATGCTGCATGAAGGCCACCCGGGCCAAACGAGAATGAAATTGCTTGCAAAGCAATATGTGTACTGGATTGGCATGGACTCAGACATCGATCGCATCGTGAAAGAATGCGAAGGCTGTCAGAAAGCCCAGAAGATGCCTGTAAAAAGTGAATTGACTCCCTGGCTTACCCCAAATCGTCCAATGGAGCGCGTGCATATCGATTATGCCGGTCCGATTGATCAAAAAATGTATTTGATCGTTGTCGACGCTTACTCAAGATGGCCTGAAATCTTTGAGTGTAAGGTGGCAACAAGCCGAGTGACGATTGCCCAGTTGAGAGATGTTTTCTCCAGGTTCGGAGATCCGGAAACGCTCGTTTCGGATAACGGAACTCAATTCACTTCGAAGGAGTTTGAAGATTTCTGTAAGGAACGTGGAATTACCCATATTCGCACGCCGCCGTTCCATCCCCAGTCGAACGGATTGGCCGAACGTTTCGTCGATACCTTCAAGCGCGCTTTGAGCAAAGCCGCTGGTTCGACTAACGCTGAAACTTTGCAAATATTTCTGCGAACTTATCGGTCCACCCCTTGCCCATCTTCACCAGAACAGCTATCTCCGGCTGAAAGGTTTATCGGGAGAAAGCTTGTTACTCCCATTGCTCGCTTGCGTCTGCCTCAGAGCAACAGCAATACTTGTGCGAATCTCATCTTTCCGAAGGGGGAGAAGATGAAGATGGTTGAACAGTACAACCGGAAGCACGGCGCAAAGAAGCGTTCCTACGAAATCGATCAGACCGTCTGGGTTCGAGATTATAAAATACCTAGCAAACCTGTCTGGGTAGAAGGACGTATTTCTAAATTATGTGGAAAGTCCATGTACGAGGTTGAAACTACCTCTGGAGTCGTTTGGCGTCGACATGCCAACCAGCTACGTGCTCGATTCGTTCGAGACGTACTCGATGATATCCTGGAAGAGTTCGATCTTGCCAGCGATGATAAAGTCAATGTGCAGGACACTGCTCCACCTCTTGACAAGCCTCTCGAGAAGCCAGCTGCATCATCCGCCACAACTTCTACATCGATTCCCATTGTACCTGTTCCGAATGTTCCCCATCCCACCGCCCACCGCTCCCAACACCAAAGTCGCCACAGAAGTCGCATCCACGATCACCGGCAAGATCACCATCCGTGCCGCGACGACCTCAAGTTGACCAGCCCGAAGTCGCTGCTCAATACCCGCAAATTGACCAACTCGATGACGTTGTTCAACACCCGCGAGGACGCGACGACGAACCTGAAGTTCGTCAACAAGATCAAGCACAACCTGTGAAGAAGACAAAGAAGACTGATGCTCTTGGACCGATCCTTCACCACAAACGCATCCGGAAGCCGCCATCGCGATATGAAGATTGAAGTGCCGTCAACGTCGTCTCCATCAAGCTCAACTTCATCACGAGTCAAGCTCTTCATTCAAGGAGGAAGATGTTGCGGAAGCAAGAGAAGAAAGTCTTTTGATTCAATTACGCGATGCCTGTACGGCGCACCCCTTTGCACTACGCCCTGTGTGCGCCCTCCCCGTCCCCCGGCACAAACCCCATTTTTGTGCGTGTCTTTTTCATTCTTTCCACACCGCCCGTCTTGTCTCGCGGCTTGTGTTATTTTAGGCCATTGCCGTTATCGTAATAAATACTTTGTCCTCCCTTCTTTCGTCATATCAATTCAGGTGTCAAACGACTCTCTCGCAAGGTATCCCCTTGGATTGAGCCAGCACTCAAGAACTCACGCACAGCCACACCTACAACAGTTTTCCACTTGAAACATAGTTAAATTTAGGGTAGAGTTTTAGGGAAAAAAACTTAGTTTCACCCATCCCGATTAAGACCGACAAGCAGCTTACTAGCCAAGTAGATGGGCAATTTGCCAGTGGAAGGAGGATCGGCCCTCGCCTTGTACATCTTCATCGTCAGCGACCACTAAAATTCCCACGCAATGGCAATGGCAAACGCCGCAGTGCATTTGAGACGAAAAAATCGCGGAAAAAGAGAAGGTAAGACTCTAGTTTACCCCCCAGCCCTAACGTTTCAGCCATACGTCCTATTAATGCGCGGAGTATCTCAAAATGTTCGCCGTGGTCGAATTACTGTAAAAAAAATGTTGTTTTCTTGCGGCAAAAATTGCTAGAAATTTTTTTACAAGATTTTGAAAGTTCAAAAGATTAAGCCGCTGTGCTTCAGTGTACCAGGAGTCTAAAACTATTATTTTTCCGCTATTTTTTTCGACTCAAACGTACTGCAGGCTTATTCTCCAGAGCAAGAGCTACATTTTGGTACCATTGACAGCTCTGTACGACAAAAGATGGCCGAGATACGAAAACTCACTTTGGAACAGCAAAAATTAACTAAAGAAAACCGAGAATTATAATTGTCCTAAAAAATTTTCTAACCATTTTTGGTGTATGGAAACAACTTTTGTATAGTAATTCGACGACGGCGAACATTGTGAAACACTCCACGGATTAATGGGACGCATGACCGAAAAGTTGGGGCTGGGTGAACTAGAGGAGGGTTTCCCAGACTCTTACCGACCAAAATCCTGGCATTCCAGGTCCTGACAGCCATAATCCCGACAGCCCGAAGTCCCAGATTTTTTGGCTGTCGGGATTTTGGCTGTCGGGACAAGGCTTACCACAGAGATGCAGAAGGAGGCCAAGATGAGGGTGGCGAGCAGGCGGACCATTGTCAACAGGGAGAAAGAAACGATGGCAGCCTCAAATGGCTCAAAATAGTCGGCAACTAGGTTTTTCGATACATGCAAATGCAACGTCGCTAATTTTGGAGTGATTGAAAATTTTGTTTTTCTTTAAAAATTTACCTTTTACTGAAGATTTTTTGTAAGGCACAGGTCCGTGCATCCACCCAAATTCCGTGTGGAATCCACCTGGAATTCGGGTGGAACGCTTTGGAAATCGGGTGGAAATCGGGTGGACGCAGTGGAAATTGAGGGGAAACACGACGTAACGCGGGCCCCACGCGTCGCGGCAAATGGAAATCGAGTGGAAACCGAGTGGATCCACTTGGTTTCCACTCGATTTCCATGCGTTCCACCCGGAATCCACTCGATTTCCAGGTGGAATCCACTCGCGGCCGCTAGTGGAATCCCCTCGATCCCCTCCGGGATTCCGAGTGGATTTCGGGTGGATGCACTGACCTGTAAAGTGAATTCCCCTCAATTGGCCGCGGAGAAAAAAATATTACCAGCACCAGCGCCCCCCCCCGCTCGCCTACCTCCACTCGCGTGTCACCTGGCTCACTATGATCCCCCAATCGGGCGAATGGACAAAAATCGATTTTTCATCCATGACCTTTCCTTTTTTGAGCTGTTTTTGGACCATTTCTGATTCCGGGCATCGAATTGACCAACAGGGCCGTACAAAAAAAGTGCAGTTTGCACCAGGGTTGTTCATTTTGCGTCCGGTCCGCGTCCGTCCGCGTCCGGGACGGGACGCGTCCCGTCCGTCTCATTAGCATAAAATTTTGCGGACGGACGCGGACGCGTCCCGGACGGACGGGACGGACGAATGGCGGACGGGGACGGGGAGCGTCCGCGCGTCCGAGATGCAAATTAATTCATGGTAATCCTAAAATGAAAACCAGGAAATCCTACTATATATAAAAAAGTAGTGTTTGTGTGTGTGTGTGTGCCACTTTGCATGCAACTTCCGTCAGCGTGTTCCAGTAGTATCTCAATTAGGGGGGTAGCTAGGGGTATGTATGATACGTCATTAGGTACGTAATGGCCTTGGGATGACTGCACACTAACAAAATTTTCAAAAATTAGCTGTTTTCGAGGTTAAAATTAAGTTTTTGTTGCAAAATCCAGGACCCACTTTGTTAGGAAACAATTAGCATGCGCCGGAAGTTGTGGTAGCCTATATAAAGGGAAGAGAGCTAGCGTTTCTCATTTTTTGTCATCAAAAATCGTGAGAATTATGCAAAGCGAAGAATATCATTGGATCAGACGGGGCCAGGGTTGAAAAGTCGCGAAGCGGCTTTTCAACCCTGGTTCACAATAATTTTGCAGGTTTTGCGATGAATTTGATTTTATTGGACAGTAGGTTGCCATGTACAAGTAGACATGCTAAAAACCAGACTCTACCAAAGGTTTTACCCCCAACAATGAAAAACTAGGCGCTTCATTATGATTTGAATCCGGTTTTCTCATTTGCATCGCGGACGCAGTTACTTCCGGCGTCCGCCGTCCGTCCCGTCCGTCCCGACTCTCAGAATGCGATATCAAACGCATGCAGGGGCGTAGCCAGAAAAAAAATTTCGGGGGGCCCCAAAAAATTTTTCCAAAAAACTCAAAACATTGCCGAAAAAAACAGCGTCGCAGGCAAACATTTTTGAAAAAAGGTTGCATAGCTCTACAAATAGCCGTAAAAACGTGAAAAAATAGCGCCGCAGGCAGCAAAGTTTTTGAGAAAATAAAAATCATAAGAGTCCCCCTTATGAAATTTTCGGGCCCCGGCCGATTTCGGGGGGTGGGCCCCGGGGCCTGTATTACGCTACGTCCCTGAACGCGTGGTAAAGAATTTTGATCGGTTTAACTCGCTGTCGATTGGAGCGTTCCGTTCGCGTGAATGCAGTGCAAACTGCACTTTTTTGGAGCACCCTTTAGAAGCGTTCGGGCTTAAGTGCATTCACAGAGATGTGGCGAAGCCAATTTTCTAGAAACAAAGAAAGTTACAGCCAGACAGACCCGCTAGTTTTAAAGTTATAGCGAAAATACTTTTCATTGGTAATTTAATGTGGGGATTGCTGCAATCTGCTTTCAAAATATGCGTTATTCTTGCATTTACGACCCGATTTTGCATAACTTTTGTCAAAAATGCGATTCTCGTATTGGACCCTGGTGAGAACGATCGCGTATAAAGAGCAAAAAAAGTGTCAAAACGGTGGCTTCTACCGTGGAGTTATTTTCCGTCTGGTCCGCCATTCCGGCTTGTTTCAGGAGGGGCCTTATATGCAGCCTTTCTCGGAGACCGCGATCGGCATCAGGACGTAACAGTACGCTACGCTGCGGCACTCTTCGCTGCGACGTTCTACGTGCGCTACAGTACGTGAGAGTACCAGAGGCTAATGTACGATAAGCTACTGGAGGTTAGAGTACGCAACTGTTCGCTACGGTATATAACAGTACGCTGCGTTACGGCACTACGTACGCATCCTACGTTACGTTACGCTACGGTACGTAATAGTACCCGTCAAAAAAGTAAAAAAGCATAGAGACAGACCGAAGGATATGTGCTCGAATATATTCACCTACTCGTCAAACGATGCCTTGTCGATAAATATACGTTTTGATGTGGGTACGCCGCACTACAGTACGCTAAAGTACGTAAGAGTACGAGAGGCTACCGCACGTTACACTACGGAAGGTTAGAGTACAAACAGTTCGCTACGGTATGTAACAGTACGCTGCGCTACGGCACTACGTAAGTACGCTACGTTACACTGCGTTACGCTACGCTACGATGCCTGATCGATAAATATATGTTTTGATGTGGGTACGCTGCACTACAGGACGCTAAAGTACGTAAGAGTACGAGAGGCTGATGCACGTTTTGATGGGTGTACGATCCTTAACAGAGTCACTTCCGAATCTCAACCGTCACTTCCAAATTTCACCCGTATCGCGGGCATGTCATACAACAAATAAATTTTTATCGAAATACACCAAAGCACAGAGTCAGAATTTAGCGAAATATCTGAAATTGATGTGTTTCTTTGGGTGTCCAGTTTGACGGGTCGTTGGCTTGGCAGAGGGTAGTCGCACGTGCTGAAAACCGCGGGATTAAGACAGGGATGCTTACAAAAATAATAGTAGCTATTTTAACTGCATTTTTTGGTAAAATTGTACAGAATTTTAAGTGGGAAACAATCAAAGAAATGTTGAAGAAGGGCTCAAGCAAAATTTGGTCGCAAAATCTGCATTTATTGCATTTTTTAACAAAAATCCATAAATCATTTAGGTTAAAGCTTAATAAAAACAATTAAAAAAACCCCTCGATTCATATTAGAGGAAATGAAACATAGGGAAACGTTTGGCTGATAGCGAAACAACGAATATAAACCAAAATTAGAAAGCGAAAAAGGTTAGAATGCAGTTTACTCCACCCCCCCGCAGCGGCACCAAACTTTTGTATCTCGGCTCCCTGTTCATCTACAGGTGTGTAAAGTATAGCAAAATATTCGCCAGAGCAAGACGAACCTTTTGGTATACTTTACACACCTGTAGACGAACAGGGAGCCGAGATACGGTAGGTGCGGGTCGGCTGGGTGGAGGGGGGGTAAACGGCACCCAAGCCAAAAATTCCTTTCTTTCCCCCACCAAGAAAGCTAGAGTAGCGGCAGGATCAGGATCATCGATGCAAGGAGCTGAAAGTGGTCGGGAGTCAACAGTTCCTGTCTCGAATTCTTACCACATTCCAATAGGAGAACGACGTGGTCGCAGACCCGTACCTGCATAGCGCGCCACCAAAGCCCAAGGGGCACACCTGCCCGATGGTGATCAAACTAAAATTCAGAGTTGCATCTCTCTAAGGCTAAAATTTTCAAAAAGTTTTTTTTTCAAGTTTTTTTTCAAAAAAAGTTTTTCAAAAAAAGTGTTCAAAAGGTTGCTGGCTATCTAAAATCTGAATTAACCTGGAACCGTTCTAGGCTACAAGCCAGGTCTACAGGTTCATTTCAAGAAAGTTTAAATAGATCACAATACAGAACAAAATTTCTTTAACGCCACTCGATAGAGCGTCGAAAAATATATTAAGGGTTTTAATTACAGCCCAAAATAATGTAAAATGAAATAGTGATGGTAACAATAAGCAAAATCCGGATAGCCGTCCAAACACTATTTTAATTGTATCAATTTTAAGCTTGATTTTTTCGCAATTCCCGGCCAGGGGATAGTAGCTGGGCTAAACATTTTTTGGGACCTAACGGTTGGGTAAATAATACTCTTACCAAATGTTAAACGCGAGGAACGTAAGATCTGTATTAAGCGCCGCAGGCTAGCGCTTCAAGGCCCTTTTCGAGTGGTACAAAATATGTCAGCAACACGAAAGCAAAATTAGATTTTACCGTCAGAAATCCCCCCCACCAGGCTTGGTCATTTTGGTATCGGGTATCCGGGTCGGATCGTATCGGATCGGATCGGACGAATTTGCATGCCGATCCGGATCCGATCCAGATCCGATCCGGATAGATCCAGAAGTATCGGATTTTTATGCAAATCCAAAAAGCCTAAAAACCGGTATGATACCTTTCACCATGATGAATTTTTTTTTTACACTACATGCATACATTACACACATACACTAACCATTTGCACAAAATTCGGTATAGCGAAAATTGGCATAGTGAAAATTCGGCACAACGAAATTCGGTATAGCGAAAATTCGGTATACCGATAATTGGCATACCGCAAGTCGGCGCAGCGAAAAGCGGCATAGTAAGGTTCAACCAAATTTTGGCGTAAATCAGTAAGAATCTCGTTTGCATGGGAAATCGCTATAAAAGTCGGGACCTCGATGCCGATCCGCCGGATCTGGATCGGGTATCGGATCGGATCGGATCGGCATGCAAATTAGTCCGATCCGATACCGATCCGGCCGATCCGATCCGATCCGGGTACCCGATATGAACATGACCAAGCCTGCCCCCCCCACCCATCAGCAGTCCAGCACCCGTAATTATGACCCACATGCTTTGACGGCGCTCCTTTCGAATACAGGCAAACTCGAGGCGGTCAGGCAGTTTGCCTTTGTTTTCCCCGAGAAGGTTCCGCTCCTTCTTTCCGCATGTTGGACACCTCATGCCTGGGGCGGGGCTCGGCGATTCACAAAGCAGGAAAGTCACCCCGAACCACTGGTCGAGTCCCTGCAACAGGTTATTGGGGATGGGGAGTGGGAAGCTGAATGTGGTAGATTTTTCAATATTTCATTATTTTGGGGTCTACACCATCGTCGCATCGCGACCCGGTCGAGCATCAAAAATATACTAAGAATTTTAATTCTAGATAAAAACAGCATAATTTACGAAAGTTATAACAAAAGCAAAAATAACCCTTAAAATGCGACTGGATCGGAAATCTCCATGGTAACCCTCCATTTCGGGATCTCCGATATTGTTTGGATCTGTGAACTTTTTTGCACATGTGGAAAATTTCAAGTGGATAGAACCGGAAATGAAGCTCGTCCTTTGTCATTGGAACACATAGGGTTCCTGGCAAAAGTTCCTTGACCAATGTTTCGGCTATAAAATGATGTAGAGTGGGCGTGCGACCGTTGAATTTTGTGGTTTTAGAGACAACCCGCTGGGGATTCAGAATTCGTTCAAAGTTCAAATCTTATCCTTATCCCTTTCAGCGTGCGCCGATTACCTTGGCAAACTCCGCGGTGAGGGCTTCGTCGAAGACTGCCGTATCGCCCTCGAATCTCCCGTTCTTGTAGGTGGTCAGCAAAAGGGCGTCCAGTTGATTGATCTGGTGTCCACCGAATTGCTCTTGGACTAAACAGAGAATTTTCATTTTCGATCTGTTCGTTTGTTCCTCAGGATTTTTGCGGGGCCATTGGATAGAGCATTGAAAAATATATCGGTTGTGCCAAAAACCCCCTACCTAGCGGTCCGCAGTCGCACTTGTAATTTGGTCAAAGTTCTGGCCAAAAATCAAAACAAAAAAGTCGTGAGCGGATTCGAACCCTCATCGAACCGGGTTTGGGACAACCTGTATACCCATCAAAAGTTCCATTCTGTTCGTCTTCAAAGTTTTTTACTTGGCTACGGTTAACTTTACCCCCCTCCCCCCAGCCAGAAGTTTTTGGGGCTCAAGTCTAGGAAACCCCCCAGCCACAACTTTTCAGCCATGCGTCCTATTAATGCGCCGAGTATCTCAAAATGTTTGCCGTGGTCGAATTACTATAGAAAGTTGTTTCTATACACCAAAAATTGTTAGAAAAATTTTTATAACAATTATAAGTCTGGGTTTTCTTTAATTAATTTTTCCTGGTCTAAAGTGAGTTTTCTTATCTCGGCTATCTTTTGTCCTACAGAGCTGTCAATGGTATCAAAATGTAGCTCTTGCTCTGTAGAATAAGGCTACAGTACATTTGAATCGAAAAAAATAGCGGAAAATAAAAATATTTGAGTTTTAGACTTCTGGTACATTGAAGCACAGCGGCTTAATCTTTTCAACTTTCAAAATCTTGTAAAAAAATTTCTAGCAATTTTTGCCGCAAAAAAACAACTTTTTTATAGTAATTCGACCACGGCGAACATTTTGAGATACTCGGCGCATTGATAGGGCGTATGGCTGAAAAGTTACGGCTGGGGGGGGGGGGTTTTCTAGAATCTTACCGTTTTTGGCTATAACTTTTTTATTTTACATTATTGTAAGTTCAAATTAAAACTCTTGATATATTTTTCGATGCTCTATCGAATGGCGTTGCGAAAATCCCGACAAAAGAAGAATGGGTAGAATGGGTATGAACAGAATGGGTAGGATTATTATAGTTGACCAGCGCCCAAAACCCGCTTCGCGGGCCTTGGACGCTGGAATGCGGCCCTTGCATGAGAAATTTGACCTTCCGAGTGAACTTGCAATAATGAGGAAATTTGTATTTTTTCGCATTATGCCAATTAGTCTTCCCGGGCCCCAAAAATGCGCCGGACACACGCACGCACACAGAGACACTCCAAAATTATATAAGGCAGGATCACAGCTTACTAGACAAGTAGATGGGGAACGTCTCCTCGGTGGTCACATTCGGCACCGCGCTGTACATCTTCATCGTCAGCGGCCACTAGCAATCGTATGTAGGCTGGATGATTTTCAAACTATGTTCTTTAATTAATCTTCAGCTTCAGCCCTAAGTCCTATTAATGAGCCCGTACCACAGAGATGGAGAAGGAGGCCAAGAGGAGGATGGTGAGCAGGCGGGCCATTGTCGACAGGGAAACAATATGATGTGTTTGCTCAGGTTTTTTTTCGGGTTTTTATTTCCGGAAACCGTGAACCTTATTTAATGCAAATTTCATAGCGCAATTTTTGATTGCTTGTTATTTTGAATTGAGGGCACAATTTTTTAGGAATGACGCCTTTTAGGCAAGATGATAGGGATTCACCCCCCTCCCCGATAATGCAAAAGAACCTTAAATTGGTGTTGCTCTCTCACTCTCTCCCTCTCTCTCGCTCTCTCTCTGACCCTCTCTCAGCTCTCTCTCCTCTCGCTCTCTCTCTGTCTTTCTCTCCCCTCTCTCTATCACTCGTTCTCGCTCTCATTCTCGCTCTCTCTCGCTCTCTCTCACTCTCTCGCTCGCTCTCTCTCTCTCTCTCTCTCTCTCTCTCTCTCTCTCTCTGACTTTCTTGCGGTCTCTCTCAAATGAATTCAGACCCACGCAACGAATTTCCCCTTTAAAAACTACTTCGATACCCCCCATAGCCGAAATTTGATCCCGATCCCGATTGATTTTTCAAAAACAAAAACGTGGGGGAAAGATGAAATGGCTCCGGTGAAAATTTTCACGCAACGCGCGCGACCTGGCTCACTATGCCCAAAATCGTGTAAACTTAATTTTACTCAGGCGACACCAGCAAAGTTAAATTTAATAATTTAGGTTTACGGCAAGGTTTACGGTAAACGATACGTAAGGACGCTCCGGTAATTTACTTTACACTACAGGACATCACGCTATTGTGCGCCACGCGGAAGTAAGTAACACCACGCTGGAGTACGTTACGATACGCCACCACGCAACGAGACACTACGCCACCGTTGGTGCCGTTGTCCTCAAGTTTGAAATATACCGAATGAAAAGACTCCAGAAAACAAAGAAAATAATGAAACATTTATTCCAAGCATGCACATAAAAATGATATCCATCTGGCGGGTCTCCTTGTAATGTCGGCCGTTAATTCCTCGCCGTTCATCGCTGTCCGGAAATCTGGGAACGTTGCGTACGGCAATCGCGCGCCGCCCTGAAAAACGACATTTTTGGAAAGGGCATCTTTTTAAAAAGGTAAAATTACGCCTACGGTTTACCTTACCCCCCCCCCCCAGCCGGAATGTTTTGGCTATAACTTTTTTATTTTCCATCATTGTAGGCTCAAATTACAACGCTTAGTATATTTTTCGACGCTCTATTGAATGGCGTTGCGAAAATCTCGACAAAATAAGCGAAAATACCGAAAACTTGGAAGACCCTTCGGCTGTGGGGGGGGGAAGTAAACTCTCACCCAAATTACATTTTTTAACTTTAAAATGATAATATTCAATACCCCGTCAACAAAAATGTTTAAAAAATTTTATCATAAAATTTGTAGCTGGTTGGACTCAATTAAATCAGTTTTGGGCAGAAGGCAAAAAAAATCGATACCTTTTGCCGGACAATCGCATGGCCGACTTGGTGTTTCCGGCGCCCTTCGTGTCCCCGGCCGCATCCTGAAAATCGGAACGATGCCGCTTTTTCATTATCGGGGCATTCAAAAGTAAATCCGTTTCGATTTCGTTTCTAAAAAAATCCGCCCCCCGATAATGAAAAAGCACGGATATTTTTGCCGTTAATCGCCACAAACGCAACAACGTACACTGATGACAAAGGCGGGCCACATCTCGTCGGGGTTGAACCCGGTCAGCGTCACGTATTCCGGGTTTTTGCCCTATAAAATAAAATGGGTTTTCTGTCGTGGGGAATGAACTTAAAATCGGGTGAGCCGCTGGCACGCTCTCTTTAAAGGGGGAATCCCAAAAAGCAACCTCAATCTCCTTCTCGACGTCCTCCCTCTCGACGGTCACCTTCACCGGGTCGATCGCCTCACATTCCGCCTTGTGCCACGGGTAATTCTGAAAATATTCGGATGTGAAATCGGTCTTTAAGGAAACATGCGACGCAAAGTTTTCGATGGAAAAGCAAAAAATTTTGCCACGGCCGGGGGTTGAACCCGGACCTCACGCGCGGTAAGCGAACACAAAACCAATGAGGCAACAGGCCGACGGCGGTGTGCAAGGACAGGCCCTTTTCCACCAGGGAGGCTTTTTCCATGCGTTAGGAAACAGACCCTGTTAGGCTGACAGACCCCCCCCCCCACCTACAGTATCTCGGCTCCCCGTTATCCTATCGGGCTGTAAAGCATACCAAAATACTCGCCAGAGAAAGGCGAACATTTTGGTATACTTTACACACCTGTAGATGAACAGGGGGCCGAGCTACAAAAGGTGGGTGCCGGCTCGGGGGGGGGTAAACTGAAATATTACCCCCTGCGATAGCGTGGATCGATGCTATAAAATTGGGAGGTGATTGTTGCTGAAAGAGCCATTGAAGTCAAGGATACGACTGACAATAGCGGCCTCGGCACTCTGCGTCCGTTCCGTCTTTATCTGGCGCTCATCCATTGGGGGCAGCGACGGCTGCATCTGGGAGGCTTCCTGAAAAACGGGGCTAGCCGGCAGAGATTTTTTGGGATGGCCGGAAAGTCCGATCCGCCAGCTGGCACACTCCCTTTAATAAATTCCTTAATACCTGTGTGCGATCATCCTTCTCCTTCTCCTTTCCTTTTGCTGCTCCTGCTCCACCTGCCGCTGCTCCCTTCGCGGGCATAGGTGTTGCTCCGGGATCACCGGCCCCGATCGTGCCCGGCTTGACCGGCTTCTTCGACTTGTTCACCGGCGTCGCCTTCGACTTTGGCTTCGACTTGGACTTTGACTTGGCCCTGAACCAAAAACGGATAAACGCCTGAATTCGGTTAGAGTTCAGTCCCTCCCCCCCCGCAGCCGACCCCCACCTACCGTATCTCGGCTCCCTGTTCATCTACAGGGCTGGTACCAAATTTCGTTTACTACCCCGGCCCAGGGTAGTAAAAAGTTACTAGGGTAGTATAATTTCTTACTACCCCGATAAGTGGCCCGTGACCCGGATTACGTACCCCGAGCGGGACGTTTTAGCGCAATTTTAAAATCAATTTAACAGGTCCCAGGCGCAAAAAAAAAGTTCGGGGCCGGTGCCACATAGTTGTTGAGAGGCAAACCCGTGGTTTTGGAAAGACAGATTTCGACGTGGTGGCTCGATCGCAATAAGACTTCCGTCTAACACACCAAAGAGGCTCGGGAAAGTTCGCCGAAACGTTCTATGGGCCTTTTGCTTCTCCTGATCCGTCCGTGGGTACTTCATGAATCGTGATATCATTCTTGGCGCAAGCAAAGCTTGCACTGTTTCGTGGAGTATCGCCGAAACCGATTGTTGGGAGACTCCAAGCGAATCAGCAACCAGGTTCTGGAACCCATTCGAAGCGAAATATCTAAGTGTAGCTGCTAACTTGATTGTGGGAGTGATCTTCGATTCGTATGTGCCTCCCAGCATTGGCGCTAGAAGTTTCACCAAACGACGGAATTGGCTATGCGGAAACCGATAACGTTTTTTGAAGAGGCGCCTCGTGATCGCAAATTTCCAGATCGGATCGATAACAAAGTTGCGCGCCATCAGCAGCAAAAAAAAACAAGGAAAAATTGCGAAGTGATGATAAAAATTATGGTTTGCCTGATGAGTAACTTTTTTGACCAGGGTAGTAACAATTTTAATCGGGGTAGTAACTTTTTTGACCAGGGTAGTAACAATTTTAATCGGGGTAGTAAAAACCGGTTACTACCCTAGTAAAATTTTGAAATCTGGTACGGGCCCAGGTGTGTAAAGTATACCAAAATGGTCGCCTTTCCCTGGCGAGTATTTTGGTGCGCTTTACACACCTGTAGATCAACATGGAGCCGAGATACGGTAGGTGAATGTCGGCTGAGGGGTAACTGCATCACAGCCCTGAATTCGCCCACTTGGCGCCGGCCGATTTGCCCGCTTTGCCGCCCGATTTGCCGCCGGACTTGTTGCCCGACTTGCCGCGCGCCGACTTGTCCTTCTTCGACGGGTCGCCCTGCAAGAAATGTTTCAGCTTTTTAATGGAGTTTAAATCAAAAAAACGCTTGAATTCTCTATACCTTTTTGCTCTTTTTCTTGCTCTTATCGGGATCGGGGCTGGGCTGTGTCGGCTGGCTGACCGGCATCGGGGAGACGGGCGATGGCTGCAAAATTCCGAGAGTTTTCGGATTTTAAAGACCTAGGGAAGGGAATTTTGGCCAAACTCAAGATAGCCGCCGGCCGTATCTCGGCTACCTGTTCATCTACAGGTGTGTAAAGTATACCAAAATGTTCGACTTGCTCTGGCGAGCATCTTGGTATACTTTACACACCTGTAGATGAACAGGTATACGGTAGTTGGGGGCTGGCTCGGGGGAAGGGGAAATCTGAAGCCCTAGCGCAATTTTTATCGTTGCATATTCCATCGTATACAAAAAATTCAGCACCAACGCCAGCTCTCAAAAAAATGTAAAAGGAATACGGTAAGAGTTTACTTTACCCCCCCACAGCCGAAGGGTCTCAAAGTTGTCGGTATTTTCGCTTATTTTGTCGGGATTTTTGCAACGTCTTTCTATAGAGCATTGAAAAATATACTAACACTTTTAATTTAAGCCTACAATAATGTAAAATAAAAAAGTTACAGCCAAAAATTTCCGGATGGGGGGGGGGGGTAAAGTAAACCGTAGCCATCAAAACTACCAAGAACACTATAAAAAAACATTCTACATTATCAATAGGCCTTCCTGCTAAAAATTCCCCCCGCTAAGAGTCTTGTACCAAAAGAGGTACCTGCTCGAGTCCCTTGGCTTCGAGGGCGGCCTTCGGGGCCACGTTCTTTCCCTTCACCTTCTTCCGGCCCCAGCACATCTTTTTGTCTGAAAATTAAAATTAGCTGGGCCTAGAAATTCGATTTGATCCAAAACCTCCTTATTAAAGCTTTTACGGAGAAAATAACACACCCACCGTATTTAGACTGTCTTCAGAAATATACACAACTCGGACACTCAACACAAACAGCGAAATTCGTAGAAAATTGAAGTAGGAAAATGGGGTAGATTTAGGATTTTTTTGTTTCAACGAAACACCCATGCAAATCGAATTCGAGTCATTTATGTAAATTTATTAAAAACGGCGTGATATTGAAATTTTGCAGGGCAGGCTAACAGAGATTGTTTGAGGAAATGGACGGACCCCGAGAGGAGGGCAGGCTAGCAGAGATTGGAGGAGGAAATGGACGGACCCCGAGAGGAGGGCAGGCTAGCAGAGATTGGAGGAGGAAATGGACGGACCCCGAGAGGAGGGCAGGCTAGCAGAGATTGGAGGAGGAAATGGACGGACCCCGAGAGGAGGGCAGGCTAGCAGAGATTGGAGGAGGAAATGGACGGACCCCGAGAGGAGGGCAGGCTAGCAGAGATTGGAGGAGGAAATGGACGGACCCCGGGAGGAGGGCAGGCTAGCAGAGATTGGAGGAGGAAATGGACGGACCCCGAGAGGAGGGCAGGCTAGCAGAGATTATTTGAGGAAATGGACGGACCCCGAGAGGAGGGCAGGCTAGCAGAGATTGTTTGAGGAAATGGACGGACCCTTGAGAGGAGGGCAGGCTAGCAGAGATTGTTTGAGGAAATGGACGGACCCCGAGAGGAGGGCAGGCTAGCAGAGATTGAGGAGGAAATGGACGGACCCCGAGAGGAGGGCAGGCTAGCAGAGATTGGAGGAGGAAATGGACGGACCCGGGAGGAGGGCAGGCTAGCAGAGATTGGAGGAGGAAATGGACGGACCCCGAGAGGGAGGGCAGGCTAGCAGAGATTGGAGGAGGAAATGGACGGACCCCGAGAGGAGGGCAGGCTAGCAGAGATTGGAGGAGGAAATGGACGGACCCCGAGAGGAGGGCAGGCTAGCAGAGAGTCCCTAGGAATTTGGCCAACTTTTCTAATTCTACTTTTTTTTACTTGCCGGCCCCTTTAGGAAAAAAGGCCATAAATCGTGAGAGGGTAATTGGTGTGAGAATGGGTGGAGATGACCCCATTTATCTCCCCCCGTTGGGCAAAAAACGAGCTCCCGTCGAAATTCCGACACCATCCAAATTCCGATAGCCGGTAGGTAGTGGAATTAATGGTGCTATTTACAGTAAGTGGCTGGAGGTCAATATAGAATTTGGGCTTTTATTTATTTTTCCTCTCTCCTCAGTAATCTCTGCCAGCCTGCCCTCTCACTCTCTCCTGAAAGATCTTTGCAGCCTGCCCTGTCTTTCTCTATCTATCTCTCTCTCTCTCTCTCTCTCTCTCTCTCTCTCTCTCTCTCTTCTCCCGCTCTCTCTAGCTCTCTTTCTCTCGCTCTCCCTCCTCAAAGCACTCGGCAAGCCTGCCCTCTCTCTACTCAAAGATCTCTGCTAGCCTGCCCTCTCTCCCCAAAGATCTCTGCTAGCCTGCCCCGTCTCTTTCTCTCTATCTCTCTCTCTCCCTCTCTCTCTCTCTCTTCTGAAAGATCTCTGCTAGCCTGCCCTGTCTCTTTTCTCTCTATCTCTCTCTCTCCCTCTCTCTCTCTCTCTCTTCTGAAAGATCTCTGCTAGCCTGCCCCGTCTCTTTCTCTCTATCTCTCTCTCTCCCTCTCTCTCTCTCTCTTCTGAAAGATCTCTGCTAGCCTGCCCCCTCTCTCCCCTTCCGAATTATTGATTTTGTTGGCCTGTGATGAACAAATTGCAAAAATATATATTTCTGGCATAATAATTTTTCGTGAAACATATGTTTTGGCCTATTTCTCGGGTGGGATCTGTCGAAATGGAAAGGCCACTTGACGATTTGAAGTGACGATGGATGGGGTGAGTTTTAGAATGGACAATCAGGGGGCACAGATGGGGATGTTCAAGCCTACAGCTCAAGCCTCGTTTCCTCAAATGGCTTCCGCTAGAATGCCTGCTCAATTTTTGCATGGTTCCGCTAAAGGTGTCGTTTTATCGCTGATAAAAATTGAAAACAAAGATAAAAATAAAATTGAAGCGCTGCTAAGCTCGTTTTTACCATTCCTGGGAACGCAAAATTTACAAAATATTATTAAAATCACACAAAAAACGACTTTTTGTTGACAAATTTTCGAAGTAATTTTCGACCTGAAAAATAATTACATTTTACACGATTAAAATCTAAAATTTTCGCAGTGTGCTACGGCGCATTTTTGCTTATACAAAAGCAGTCGGTTTCCGGCCCGTATAATGCCAGGGAACCGATTACAACATTTTTAAAAAAAAACCTAATTTCTTCTATTTCCGCAAAGTGTCTCTGTCAGTTTGCCAGTCTTAGCTTTCGTCACCACAAAAAGTGGCTGAAGTGCTGGATTACTGGCAGCAGAAAGCCTACGCGACACCACTCGAACCAGGGTGCGGTCTCTGGCTGTGCACCGTCTCGCTCTCTTTCTCTCGCTCCCGCTCTCTGTCTCTCGCTCCCGCTCTCTGTCTCTCTCTCTCTATCCCTCGTTCTCTCTCGCCCTCTCGCGCTCTCTCATTGACTATCTCTCGCTCTCGGTGTCTCTCTGTCTCGGTGTCTCTCTGTCTCGCTCTCGCTATCTCTCTCGGTCCCTGTCTCTCTCTGTAGCGCTCTCTCTCACTCTCGCTCTGTATCGCTGTCGTTCTCTCTCTCGCTCACTCTCTTCCTCTCTCTCACTCGCTCTCTCTTTCACTCTCTTCCTTTCTCTCACTCTCTCTTTCCTCTTTCTCTCTCACTCTCGCTCTCTCTCCCTCTCTCTCTATCTCCGACTTTAACCCAAACGACTAAATATTCCACCAACTAGGACCCCATATTTGATGTAGATGACAAACAATCCCCCCTTTCCTTGGCAATTTTGCATGGAGCGAAAGGACAGGTCGAATGGCGCTTATTGACAGTTCCCATAGACACGCGCCGCCCCTGTGTTCCATTACGCGCCTATTGACACCCCCTCGCTGTACCGTAAACTACATTAAAAACCTGATTTTCGTGCCTTTAATTTTTTGTCGGGATTATAAGGGCATTTAAAAACGCGGCGATTTTTCTGATGTTTGGCATTTTTCTTTTCCCCCATTTTCCCACTTACGCATTTTTTTAAAATATGAGTTTTCCTCACGTACAGCTTGAAATTTTTCACGTTTTGTCTTCGGTATTTCGTTTTTTTGACGGAGTTTTCTTTTTTGCGATGTTGCATTAAGCGCCTATCGACGGGGGGAGGAGGGGGTACTGTAACTGCCAAAAAACCCCATATTTTTGCGCGTGCCTTTTTTCAACACGATGTTTCATCTCTAGGTCCGATAAAACTGAAAAATTTCGGTTTAATGGGCAAGCTCGGCACCCTTTATACTTCCGCTTTTCCTGGACTTTTGTCTTTTTTTTTGCGTATCTTTGCGTATTGTCACTTTGTCGCGGGACGCGCTAGAAACGTTTTATTTAATAGTTCCTATTTTCTACTATTTTTGTCCATTTTCACCATTTTTCCAAGAAATTTTGTGTGCCCGATTACCCGATTATGATCGCTCCAGAGGGGGCTAGGGTTGAAAAGCCGCGAAGCGGTTTTTCGGCCTTGAGAAATGGTTGACAGATTACGTGATAAAATTGACCGTTGTTTGAAGGTTTTCAACGTAACGCTGCTGCCCAGTGCGGTCAAATTAAAGGGGCTCGGACGTCAAAATTCGTGCATGTGGGGATTGAGCCTGGTCGTCAAAAAACGATGGGATTACAGCCGAAAAGTACCAGAAAAGTTATTTCGTTACGAAAAAAGCGTAAAATATTTGCGTGAAACCGAAATGTTCTGGGGACGAAAACAGCATTTGGAGTGCGCGGCAATTACATGTCGTAATGCCTTGCAAGGCACCCAATATCTCGATATCGGCACTTTCTGAGCAATTTTCGTAATTAAAAGGTCGATAATAATCAAAATTCGATGCGGATTCCAGAACTTGCGTCAGAATTTTAAAATTCAAGCGTTTTGACGTCCAAGCAGGGGACAGAAGGTCATGCGGCGTGGTCGCGTTGCGGGATCAACACCAGTGGCCGTGGGCGAGTGTCGGAGCTCTTTACAACTTTTCATATCAAAATGTCGAAATTTCATAACCTCGAATCAGAGAATGTAGAAAATCAGCATGTCGACATTTCATAGTGTGGAAATTTCGGGATGTGGAAATTCAGAATGCCGAATTCAGAATTTCGAGATTTTCTGGGTAGGATTCGGCGGTTTTCCGGGAAGTGTAGCTCATGTAAGTTACGTCATTACCAATTTCGGCATTTTAAAATTTTCTATTCTGAAATTTTGACATTATGACATTCGACATTTTGAAAGAAACCCCATATTAACAATTCCCCCACCGATCTCTGCCATTTTGCCAGTTTTGGGCGACGCTAAAAGGGGTGCGCCATACACACCACCCAGATGATTCATGTTCGCGTTCCAAAAAGCATCATCCCCCCGCAAACCCAGGCTGGTACCACCCCCCATATTCGATCTAGCTGCCAGGCGGGGTGGCGTGCCCCGAGGGCTAGCTGGAGCTCTTGCTAGGGGTGCCAGGTGAGAGCGTGTGTTCAACCCCCCTGGTGGGTCCATAATTACTGACCCTTTCGGGGCCGATACTCGACTATTCTCTGTCTCTCTCTCCCTTCTCTCTCTCTCTCTCTCTCTCTCTCTCTCTCTCTCTCCCTCCGCTTCGTGCCAGATTGTATACCTACTCATCCATAGAATGCTTGCCACTTGATTTGATAGTTTAAACTGGCCTGGGACCACTCGATTTCCGCAAAGAACCGCTGCTAGCTTGCCTCGATATGCATCTCTGATTTCGTCTTCCATTTTCGGCTTGATGATTCATTTTTTACCTTCGTACATGCTTCTGAAGTGGGTTTTGCACTCAAAGT